CGATCAAAAATGTTTGGGAGCTCTCAGCGTGGATAAAGTAACACAAATCATCCTGTGAGGGCTTCGCTGCCACAGCATTGGTTTATGTGAAGTTTGGTGTACAATCACATGTGTTTAAGTGATTTATGATGTGATTTCTTTCAACAGGGAATTAAAAAATAATAATTTGCTCAGATCAAAGCACAACTTTGCTCCCCATTTTTTAGGACATGCTTTTGAAGCCTGTTGTTTTATTGGATTGAAAAAAAAAATATTTACATGAGATGCTGACCATCCCTTTATTTATCAAATGTGCTCTGCTGTGCTGGCTTAAGTGTGAAGCTCCTGATGAGTGTTGGCATCCACTGTCTGCTCACATCTGATCCAAGGCAGGGAATCATATTCACCCATTAAAACAGAGACACTAGAGATTTTTTTTTTTTTTTTTTTTTTGCAAACAAGCAAAGGCTCTTTTTATGGGCCTGGTTGCAAATCCATCCTCAGGAATTATTTTTCTGTTTGTTTTTGCTGTTTAAATCACATTTTTAGATATTTAAATAAATGCTGCTGCTCATTGTTCAAATAATTTTAAGTTTTTTTTTTTTGGTTTTCTAAGGTTGTGCTTTGAGTTTAGTGTAGATGGTTTGGAATGTCCACTTATATTTGCTGCAGTGTTTCAGGTGGTTGGTTGTCACTTCAGCCAAACTGCTACTGTTACTGGTTGTCCTGCACTTTTTCTGTCTGTAGAAGCTCTCAGTTGTGACACGAGATGGTTTAACTCACCTCTGCTCAACTGCTCCGTGTAGCATGAATTGTAGAAGCTGATCGAACATCAAATGTCACTGCACAGATTTGGTTTGCCCACTGCATTGGCAGAGCCCTCTAAAACAAATCTAATATTCTTTCTCTCAAGGTTTTCCCTCAAATCATGAACTAGAAACGTCCACACACTTTCTGTGGTGTCACAAGAAGTTTCATATCAAGCTTTTAAACGTTGAATCACATCGGCAGCACAGATTATATCTTTATTTTAGCTGTCGTAGTTATGATTTATAGCCACATTCCACCTTTACCAGATTATCAGACTGGAGTATCAGTTCTACACTGTGCATGGCATCTCTAACGCCACCATTTCTTAAGTGTCTTAGTTCCTTTTTTTCTGATTATCATCTTATTTTTGCCGATGGAGGAGAATACATTTATCCCGTTGTGCCTGCAGACTAGATTATTTATATTTACTTTTCCTTGGAGATAAACAGTAAAACGCTCACATGCCTGTTGTCCAGATGTTTAAATGCAGGGCGACATTATGCTGCGTCCATGAGATGTTTCACAGAACAAGTTCAACACTTGAACTTCTCCCTCTCACAAACATGCATGCTGCTTTTTCTTTTTGCTCACTTTCTGTTCCTCTCTCTTCCTTTGCAGTACCCCCTTTTTTAAAAGAATGACTGCTACAGAATAGCCAGTGAGTAATGGGGCTGGGGGTTAGGGGGTATTGTAACTGAAAGCTCTTGTGTGTTGTCCTGTATGAATGGAAAAAGAGAATACAGTATATTACTGTAGGTGCTGACTCAAACTTTCTGAGTTTGACCAGAAAGTGTGAGCTGGACATTTAATGCAAAATGTAACATATGTGAATAAAATATGAACACAATGACCGGTGTCTGCTGTTCTGTTACCTGATTGGAGGAATTTGAATTTTAAAAATATGTAATAGATTTAAGTGCCTAATTTTGAATGCAGTGCATTAACTGTCCAGCAGGGGCTGACAACCTATACAAATCATTAGTGGTAACAGAATTTCTTTGTGCAAAGACTTAATAAGAAGGTCAACTCCTAAGAGGACTTATCATTTTGACCCTGGTAGTTTAAGAGTTTTTGAATGCAAGGTAAAAAAAACACCTCTCAACAACACTCACAAACACACACACACCAAAGCACTGGAGCAACTAAAATGTTACACAGTGCATCAGTTTGATGCTGAGGTGACGCTGTCGTCACTTCCTGTCCGTCCTGGTCACTACTGTGCGGCGCATGAATGCATCAGTGTGGTGGTGGTGGTGGTCAGATAGGTCAGATCACTGGACTCCACGCTCAGGTATCTGCAGTGTTAATAATTCAACTCCCTCACTCAGTAAAGAGGGAAATCAGTCTGGAAATGTTACTATGGACGGTAAGTTGTGAGTTAACGCCAGTGGGATTTATGGTAAAACTGTTGTCGTGATCAGCTGATGGCCTGAGACTGTTCCCACTGTTGTTTCAGCTCCCAGAGATGGAGACACAGAGGGAGAAAGGTTAAGGTAAGACCAGTGTTTCCCAATAATCCACAGCACTTTGTACTCTCATGTACTTTTGTGTTAGGGTGAAATACTCAGTGTTCTGAATGTTGATAAGAGCATTAGTATACATTAGCTTATGTATCCTGCTTGTTTGAAACATGTACTATAAGCACTGCACTTTGAATTGTTTTGAATTGTTAAGTGTCAATTTACGCTGGCAGTTCTCACCAGGCTGCTTTATCTTCTGCAGGAACAAGAATGTGTTAACTATTATCCAGATTTCAAAACACTCGGATGTAAAACGACAAAGAAACTTAAGCACTTCTGACAATACAGTCTGACTTTTTTTTTTCGTATTTCAATCATTTATTTTTATTTATTTATTTTTATGTTGCTCCATAATGACAGCAGAATTACTTTGTATCATAACCTTCGACTAATCAGGGCTTTTTTCCTTCTGTTGCAATGATTTATGCTACATATTGTTTATTTTTATCCACCAGTCATTTTAATCCTACAAAGCCCGATGCTCTGGTATTTTATATTCAAACACTTAAAATTGTATTTATTTTTTACTTGTTTTTAGTAGTACTCACTTTACTACTTTTTTTATATAGATTTCTATATAGTCCGTTTTTTAAGTAATTTTTTAATAAAAGGTTTATTCTTCTTTCTTGACTACATTTTACATTATGTAAAATTACAATACTTATGGTGTACAGATGGGAGTTCCCTAATATTCTTAATAACTTCTGAACCAGGTCTAGGGACAGTCTGTGTTGCTGTGTGAGACTGTGGTCTACCAGGGTGACAACAAGGACATGGAGCTTTAGTCCTGACGCGTGGCTGCTGGAGGTTTACTGTAAAGTCTCCTTCTATCCCCTTAAAAGGATTACGTTTTTTCTCCTTTAGCAGAGGGTTTATCAAATTTCCCGTAGGGCTTTAACAGTGAGAGTGGGGTTGTGTGAGTTTGATGGAAGCAGAAAATTAGATTACTCACTTTTGCTCTCATTGTTTCTGATGAGGAAGGTCGACTTGGCAGCATTATAAAACTCAATGTGTGTTGCATATAAAAGTTGTCTGTTTGATACTTGTGATGATGATAGATTTTTTTGTACACCAGATCTGGTGTCCTTTTTTTTTTCAATGTACACAAAGAGTAACCGGAGCCGGGCCTTTGAGTAGAGTTTGATACTTGTGATGATGATAGATTTCTTTGTACACCAGAAGAGTAACCAGAGCCGGGCCTTTGAGTAGCGGTGGTGTCCTGTTCTAAAGCAGTGCATGTGTTCAAGAGCACGTGTGTTCCTGTTCATTCAAAACACAGTCGTCTGGGTTCCTTCAGTCCCTTTGAGAGCAACCGTTTAAGGAAAGATTCTGATACACATTAGCTTGAGCTAATGGCCTGTAACTAGTTTAACCTGTCAGCAAAAACTTTTTAGGTTTCAAATATTGCCTTTAGCTATACTAGTTGCTATAGTTACAATGTAATAGTATTTTTATAATGCTAACAAGCTAATTTGTTTACTCCTGCCAGCTTCGTTAGCTTTTTCTAAACATGAGATGTGTGTGCTGCAGAAACATAGCTGTCTATAAACCACCCAGGTTTGGCAAAGGTTAAATATCTTTTTAATAAGGGTGAGTAAATTATCTTTAACTAGTCCCCATTTCAATGTGTCACTATATTTCCTAACTTTTCCAATATTTATATATATATATATATTGCTTAATTTAGGTAGCCCTGTCATAAGTTTTATATTTTTGTAATACCTAAAGTGACTCTACACTTTGTAAAGGTCATCTTTTAACTAAAATTGCAAGGGTTTCTGACAAAGCATGTAATACCTTACCAAAAAAAAAAAAAGAATTGTTTTGAACAAAAGAAAAGCTGAATAATTTAAAACTTTCAGTAGGGGATTATTATTAAGAGGTCCCTGCTGTTGCACAGATAAACTAAAAATAAACATTTTTTATGGCTGAATTGCTGATACTCTTTTTCTAAAAACTATATTTGTAACTATTTTATTATATTTTTCCAGTGAACTGTTCCTGTTTGCTGCTGGTGTGACTATTGTTCTCTTCTTTAGTTTGGTCCCTGGGGGATTTGAACTCATGTCAACAAAAGCATCCAATCCCGTCCTGTGTTTTTTTAGATGCAATAATGCCCTTTTTATTTACAGTAGTTCTGTTTTGTAATTCTAGACTTTAACTGTATTTTTTCCCAAACCATAGCTGCTACATTAGCAGCTGCACTAGTGCTGTCACTGAGATTAAAGGTGTCAGATGTTCTTATATGAATTAGTTACAGCTGCATGAGTACTGAACAGCATGTGCAGAGGAGGACAACAGAAATCACATGACCTACGTAGCAACTGTTAGGAACTTCCTAGTTACCTGCGTGCAACCCGAGACGCTTCATATCAGCCTCCATTATGACGAGCTACATCTGCCAATTGAATATTTAACACTGCTGCGGATCAGGTTGCAGATTAGGAATAAATTATTAATCCCTATAGATGCCTTGAATTGGTCTGGTACACTAGGCGTAGAGCGTGGGGGAGAAACAAACACTTTCACAGAAACAGGTAAGTTTGACTCTTGGTTTGATAATCTGAGCTTTTCTGATCTATAAACTAGTTTGAATATTTTATAGATGCAAATGTAGCAAATAGTAGCTGCATGTGCCTGTGTAATATTTGAGTTGTCTTATAATCAGAATAGAGCAGATGATAGTGATAATTACACTGTGTGAATGCTGAACTTTGTGCTGTCGTCTGTAGAACTAGATGCTTGTGAAGTATCTGAAATATGCTATTGGTTAAAGTCAATTACATGTTTTGGCCTGCAGCTGCACAATGTGACTCGAAGTCCTTCCAGTGCTACTGGGCACAGCAGACAAGTAACTGTTGAAAAGGAATATAAGCCATTTGTTAGAAAAGTCACTGGAAGGTGCCTTGGCAACAGGTGACCAGTGTTGCGTTCAGTGCAGCGTCAAGACAAATGGAAAGTAAACAGGTTTGGATCCTGTTGATTAATAAGGCAGGTGTGGTGCATTTTTCACACGCAGTTTGAGATGGGAGATTAACTTCAGAACAATCAGTGATGGATGATTAGACTAGAGACAAAAAGAGAAACTGTGGTGTGTAATGGATTGTGTTGTTTGGCTCGTTTTATAGTCGTAAATTGTGTGGTATAAGTACATCCAGTACTATATATATTCCTAAAACTTAGAAAAGGACATTTTTTTCTTTGACTATAATCTGAAGTGTTTACGTTGATTAACATGTGACAGAGTACGCTAGTACATACATAGACGCTAATCAAATGTATTGTAAATAACAATATCTTTATAATAAAATTAAATAATGTAATAGTTGTGGAAACAACACAGGATGTGGAAAAAGGAAACACAGGATATCAAATATTTATATTTATATTTTTAAAATACTTGTCTTATGTCTTATATCTTATGATTTCTTCTCAATATTTCTCTTTTTTTTACATTATTGATACAGTTCATCGTTTTTTATGCGTTAAGTTGTTTTTACTATTTATAATATTCAGTATTCTTTACTCACTCCATATGCAGATGACACCCTCGTTTATATTCTGCACCTACCAGGAAGGTGTTTTCTTTTATTGGTTATTGGTGTTGTTTTATTTGCCGTTCTGGTCTTTTATTTCTGGATTTTTAAGTCATGACACTTGCTCTTCTTGAATTTCAATCTCAACCAGGTTGACCTTGTTAGATAAAGCTTAAATGAATACATTTACCTATTGCTATCACATGCTTCTCCTTCAAGGACACAGTAAAGGATATCAGTTACATTGCAGTATTGTTGAGTATGAAGTATCCTCAGGGTACTGGCATATCCATCTGTGTGCTTCATAACAGTAGATCATCATTCAACATTTCTTTCCACATCTATGCACTTTAAAAAGAGCTACTTTGTCCTTGCCTCCAGGGTCGTACGGACCCTGTGACGCACATAACATGTTCATGACAAGTGAACCCGTCGTGTGATGCTACACAAATATTCCTCTCCATCATGTTTATCAGCAGGATGTTCAATTTCACACAAGACAAAATGGGACACATGTTTTGAAAACAACACCAACATTCCCCTAATTCATCATGCACTAGTCTGCTGTTACTGTCACCACTACTGTGAAGTGCCTGCTATAGAATCAATGTCAGCCTCCTACTACTGCACTGGTCATCAGTTTCCCCCAAAAGCAACTATTTGTTGGTGAAGGTGCAGCTCTTTTCCACTGCTCGTTCAGCACAACGCTTGTCAAGTTAATCTCTATCTAATCCAATTGATCTGAGGGAGATTGCACTTAGTGGGTGCTGACAACGTCCCTGTCATTGAGAGACGGCTGATTCACTGTCAGTGTCAAACGCCACTTGTTTGCCAGCCGTACCCTCCAAGAGGCAGTAGGTATTGTTATGTCATGATTACTTGAGACTCGTTTAGTCTTGATTTTTTTTTCTCCTCAGATGAGTCAGAAGGAAGTAACACGCGCCATGTAAGTCATGTCCTCTCCACCTACAGGTGCTTCGTTACTGCTGCTTCCTTGTTGTCTTGATTTTCTGCTGCTGTAAACCTGTTAAATGACTCCCTGGGAGGATGTAGCTGTTTCACTGTGTTAAATGAAGAGGTCTTTTGGGAGTAAATGTACTCTTCTGTATGCAGCACTTACACTCCTGGCTGTACACAGTCCATACATTTTCACTTCAAGACTCTGAGATAAGTTTGTTTTTACCAGCAATGAAAGTCAAAAATGCATTGTTGGTTTTTTTTTTAAAGGAAGCTACATTTATCACATTTTATAACCCCCACAACAATGTACAATGAGTTTTTGTTGTTGTGATGTATTAGATTTAACAACACTGTTGATCTCTCTCCTGCTTTGTCTCACAGGAAGTCACTGTTTGGGCTTTATCCCTACCATTCTAGCATGATTGGCCTAGAAAACCTGGGCGATCCGTCAGGAAACTGGGATATCGTGGAGACCATCGGTAAAGGAACATACGGAAAAGTTTACAGAGTGAACAACAAGAAGGATGGAAGTCAGGCAGCAGTAAAAGTCCTGGACCCAGTCAACGTAAGTCACACGAGAGGTTGTTGGCTCAAGGAAGTGGAGCCAAAGTGACCCACAGTTGTGGCAAGAGTGGGCACTAAATGTAGTCATTCCATGCCATATGTGGGCTAAATAAAAGCTTCAAATGTGCCAAACCTGGTTAAAATTTTAATCATATAAAACACAATAGATGACTATACAAAATAGTCCACAGTCTATAGTCTTAAATAATCTCAACTACAAACTTTTCTGGGAAAGCTTACACATTTCTTTACACATTATAAAGAAACATTCAGGATTTAATTATGCCATAGCTTAATCTGACTTTTGTGCTTAATTTAATCCATCAGAGCATGTACTGTAGTTACTTGCTGAAAAGTAATTTAATGCCCGGTTTTCACTTTTTTGGGTTTATCGACCTTAAAATGAAACCTGTAAACTCTTTGCAGCCCATCATCGAGATTTGATGGGCTCTGTTTTAAAGGGCTTAAAATCAGATAATATCTTTACAAGTTATCCAGCTTTAGCAGTTTTCCTGCCTTTATCTGCCACTTCACAGACAGGCTCACACGGCCGCAGAGCTGAATTCTGCTTTATGAGAACTATCGTTCTCAGATTTTATTAACCTGCACTTCTTAACAAATGTGACTGCAGCTCAAGTTTGGAAGTTAAGTTAGTCAAGTTAAGTTAATAAGTTAATTTGATCATTTCTGTCAGGTGTGGGAATGGAAAACAAACATCTGAGTAAATGGATCTTTATTATTTTCCTTTTTCTTCTTCTTCATTCAACACATCAGTGGCTTAGAGAAATATTCGTTGAATAATCAATCTGGTATATCTGTTAATTGTTCTTATCCCGGATTGTGTTTTTTTATCTTAGGTCTCGTTTTTATAATACGAGCTTTTATTTTGAAAGAGCTCCGTCGTAATCACGGAGTTCCGCCCTAGTAATCAATGACGACAGACTCGAAGAGGGGGTAAAAGTAATTAATTAAAAGAATTTTTCGAGGAATTAGCAAATACCCGTGGAGGCACAAGCTCTTACGTTGGTTTTAGGATTTTCATTAAAAACCTGAACACTTCAGTTTAAGTGTGACGCCATCTTTCGGTGGGTTATGCTACAAAGAACACAATTCATATGCGGTGGTAATTATTGTCTTCTGCTATATGCTAACATATAGATATGTTTACCTTGCAAGTTTTCCAGCAATCTAAGATATTTTTTGTCATAATCGAACACTTTAAATAATGTTAAAAATGTTAAAAAAGGTTCAGGACGGAAAAATGTCATCGATTGGAATATTTCGACTTTGTTAAAATCAATAGTTGTGAAAGCCTAAGCCTGTGTAGTGAAAATGAAATGAAATGTGAAATGTTCTTCCTGGTTGTTGTTTTTACTATGGAAGGAGTGTCGACATGCATTTATCTTTTCCGTTTATTTTTTATAGCGTAGGGTCAGAAATTAGTGAGGCTTGGTACAAAGATTACCCCCCCCCCCAAAAAAAAACCTTGAACTTCTTATTGGTGTTTAATGGGCCTTTAAATATTCAAAGTTAGAGTTGAATGTAAACTTTGTAGTTAACAAAACTTTGACTTTGAATATTATAGTTAAAACATTTTCTTGTGTAAAAGTGTAAAAGTCCTTGCATACAGGAAAAGAAAAGACTAATTTAAAAGTAATGTTTATCTAAGGTCACATTCTTTTTAGAATACTTGCAGTAGTTTTCTTTGCATTCAGTTTGAACATTTTCCATCAAACATAGGTAGTGCATCATAACAATACTTTGTATAACTTGTGTTTCTCTCTATGAACATGTAACTTATCTCAGCAGTGGAGCCACTCACACAGAGTAAGTTTCCGGTCCCTGTTCCCGCTCTCCCTCTTCATTCCCTTGTTCGTGCTCCACTGGTGTATAAATACATCAATGTCTCCCCTTCTCATTTATTTCCTGTCATGTTATGTCTGACGCTCCCTCTCCTGGAAGTGTAGCTCCTGAAGTAGCCGTTCACACGCTGTATGTCTTTCCATTGGTCTGTGAGATAAGGTTGCTATAGACTTTGTGTTTTCTCCACACCATGCTCCTGACACTTGGTCTGAGAGCATACTGTGGTTGTAGTGCTTGAACAATTCCCCATCCCGGCAGCGCTCTCCATGTTGACGTCCCCTGATGCCCGTGAAGATGAAGCTGCCTCTTCTCCCATCCCTCTCCCTGATTAGACCACAGACACTATCACTCAGACGGCCTGGAAGAGAAATTCCGCCTCTGTGTCTGTTTCTCTTCTGTCCCTCTGAGATTTACTCTGATAGAAAAGGCGAGTCTAGATTTAGTTTAGCTGCCAAACCCTTTACTATTGCTACCTGGTTTATTTGGCTACATTTTGAAGTTGATTTAATCAGAATTACAGGTTGGGTATGGGTGGTACATTTAGTTTTCTTCCAGCTTTTAAAACAAACAGCATGTAGTATCCCCTCACACCCTGCAGGGGGCGCTAATAATATAGTCAAATGCCCAGGAGCAGGGGTTGAATGGGTGGGTAAAACAACAATCATCAATTTGGATACAACTCTCTGCTGTGCTCACCTCAAATATTCTTTAAACTGTTTTGTCACAAAAATCACATTTAAGGACTTAAACAGAGAGGATACTTTTTTCCGCCTAATAAACACTTCAGGAGTTGTTCTAAGCTTGTGACTTTTGTTTTGCATATTTTACCTACAACACATAAACTAAAATGCACTTCAGCATCAATTCTCTATCTGTTTAATGACTGTCTTTTTATGCTCCTTAAAGGACGTGGATGAGGAGATAGAAGCAGAATACAACATCCTGAGGACTCTGTCAAACCATCCTAATGTGGTCAAGTTTTATGGAATGTTCTACAAGTCCGAGAGTCTGTCAGGGGGACAACTGTGGCTGGTGCTGGAGGTAAGATCTGTGTTCAGTTGGGAGAGAAGGAATACCAGTGTGAAAGTTGTCAGGAATGTAGAGAATGTCTTTTTCCCTGCAACAGTGCAGGTGCAAGCACTGATATGAAAAATCTAATGACGTATGGTTTTTTACTATGCTAAACTTTTTCTTTGCTTTTCGTGGATTTAGACATATCCTAGATTTTGAAATAGAACTTTTGCCACATTAGGTGTTGGTGCTGCCTGGCTGTGAGTGTGTCTCTGTACTCCCCTCACTTCTGTGTGTGGGCTCAGCTCTGACCATGAATCATTATCTGCAGCAGTTTGAAAGATGGACGAGTCACTTGAGTTTCTCTGTCTCCCTCTTAGCTGTGCAACGGTGGATCTGTCACAGAACTCATCAAAGGTCTGCTCATGCGAGGCCAGCGTCTGCAGGAGCCCGTTATTTCATACATCTTGTACGGCGCCCTTTTGGTAAGACGGCCTGCTGCAGAGCCGCTAATGTTAGACAGCAGGTGTGATGCAAACATGCAGAGAGCATGCTGGGAAACATTTTTTTAAACGAGAGGAAGTGAGACAGAGTCTGTCTTTTTGTTTTTCTTCTTATATTATGTGTGTTAGTAGGGATGACGCAGGACTTTTTATGTGATTAGAATCTGTGCTGTGACTCTCATGATGTTTTTTTGTCCTCCAACTTTTTTAAAAGGGTCTGCAACATTTGCACAACAACCAGATTATTCATCGTGACGTCAAAGGCAACAACATCCTGCTGACCACGGAGGGAGGAGTCAAACTGGTTGACTTTGGTAAATAGTCTTTGAAAAAGGGGAATTCACAATCCCAAGATTTTCACAGTGACACAAGAACATCATCTTTTAGTTTTATTGGTCCTTTATTGGTAATTTGACCTATCACATACGACACACCACAGTCACAGCTAACAGGAAGTACACATCAGCATATTTGTTAAAGAAAACACATCACCGATGACAGATGTCTAATGTTGGGCCCCATGTTCTACAGCATCTCCTAATGCCTCTCTGACGGCTGTGCACTGATTGCTGATGTCCATATGGTTGTGTGTGATTCCTGTTGTTGTCAACGTGCTGTCTCAGTGACACCCAGAGGGCATTTCTTTGTATTTGTTAATAGAGGCATGAAATTATTGTGTTACGGAAGTCACCACTCAAGGTCATTGTGCAGAAAATTCTTATAGAGAAATGTTTTATTTTTTCAGAATTTATTTACACATTTAATACAGTGATGTCATGTTATTTCCAGTCAAAGATCAGTCTCACACTGACATCATCATGTTCAACACCATTAATCGGACTGTGATCACATTTCCTCTAAACTCTGGTTGTTGAAGTCAGACGACCGTGAACTGGAGATGCTGGTTATTCCCTGGACTCTGGTTCTAACCCCAGGCTATTGCTGCTCATTTAAATTGCATTATTTGATCCTTTGCATATTAAAGAGAAACTGTTAAAGCGAATGACTTTGACTCTGCCCCGGGGCAAGTTTATGTCCTCTGTGTCCCGGTGATGAAGTGGACTCATGCTGATAAAAATCTGTCCCGCTTAATTTGAAATGATTGTAGCACATTATTATTGTTAGTATTATTATTACTGCCTGGCAGGCTGCCAAGCTAAATATGCCAGGATTTATTGATTAATTTAAAACATTTATTCTCTGCTGTAAATTTGGTTTATTTTCCTCCCAGCTGTTAACAGTAGGTTTTATATCTAGTAAAACAACAAAATGGTTTCTTATTTATTTATAGGTGTTTCAGCACAACTGACCAGTGCACGACTGCGGAGGAACACATCGGTCGGGACTCCGTTTTGGATGGCTCCTGAGGTCAGAACCACAAACATCATCTTTAACAACACAACAGTAAACGACAAAAGTTCACACAGCGTAAAACAATGTTTAAAATCACCACTTTAAAATGAAGAGAAGAAAAGAGGCTGAGAGGCAGGGTCGGGTATTTCTGTGTGACTCTCCCCTGTGTCATTGTGTATTCCTGGCCGTGGGTGCAGCTCTGAAGGTCATTTCAAGGTTAATAGCTGAGAGAATGCCCCCTCCCCTTTGCTCCCCCTGAGCTTCCTCTGTGGCAGAAATGAAGTGTAGTGATTGGATGGGTAAAAGGGAGAGACCTCCTGGGTAATTAGAATGGACTGAGCTGTAAAATGCAGTGTAATGTTATAATAATTATTGACTGAGTGAAGCTCAGACCAGGAGCTGCTGGACTGACCCATCTCTCAGTGTTTAAACAGTCCATGAATACCGAGATTTTCTGTAACTCTGCCAGATTTTTGACATTATGGAAGCACAGAGGAGGAACACTCAGGTTTATGATCCGATTTAACATAAATGTTTTTAATTTATGACAGAGTTTCGCCCAAGTTCTGGCAATAAAGCAGTGTTTCAGAGAAATATGGAATAATATTTAGATAAAATAAGATACTCAGCAGTTAAAAAGTGAATTAATCCCAGCTCACTGGCCTCCATTAAAGAGAAGTGTGTATTTTGGTGGCAACTGGATGTTAATCTGATGTTGTGACGGTGTCATGTTGTCAGGTCATAGCCTGTGAGCAGCAGTTCGATTACTCCTACGACGCCCGCTGTGACGTGTGGTCCCTGGGAATCACAGCCATTGAGCTGGCAGATGGAGACCCACCTCTGGCTGAGATGCACCCAGTCAAAGCCCTCTTCAAAATTCCAAGGTGAGTCCACTGGAGGGCGCTCCAAGCACACAGCTGAGGGCAGCTCAGGTAAAGACACTGACAGATTCAGCCTCCTCTTCTGTGAGGAGGACAATAACAAAAGTGAGTGTGACAGTGAAGGTGATGGGAGGAAAAATGATAGTCGCTGCACTCGCAACCCCCCCCAACATTTTATTGTGACTGTTCCATTTTTCTTTTTTTCTTTTTTACATCTTTTTGCCATGTTAAAGGAAGCATCTGCTGAGTAATCAGCATTTGCACCTCTTTATCATCAGAAATAACAGAAGTGGCCTCTGCACAAGGTCATGAGATGTAATCTGGAAGAATATTCTCTGCTGCAAACAGTATGCACGTGCGTGTGTGTGTGTGCGTGTGATAATCATGTAAGAGCACAGTGGCTACATGCGGTTGACCTTTTCCTATCAGGCACAATCATGCAATTATCTCCCAGTTAGGTGGAGATATGCTCCTCTGATTGCAATTTGCATTGCATTGATTAGCTCCATTCACAGGAAGATGAGGCCGTCATCACGTCCCTGTCACAATCTTATCTCCTTTCTGCCAAACCAGGTGAGGAGCAGGGAGGGATGGATGCAAACGCAGCATTTTATCAGCACGTAAATTTCAAATTCACAAATAATCACAGGAGAGAAAGGAGCGCTAATGTAGAAAGTCTTTTTTTCTCAGGGTACTTTTTTTATGGATTTTAGCTGCACATTAGCTGCAGCTAACATGACAATTTTATATTCAAATAATGAATGTAAGGCAGTTTGAAAACCACTCTTCCAGTAATCCTGGAACATTGACTTTTCTAACATAACAAAATAACAAAACTAATTTTAGAAGTAGTAAAGTTTTAGGCCTAGTATAATGAGTGGTATTGACGAGTCATCACATTAATAAAAAGAAAATCTATGTTGGTGAAAACCTACATATGACCGAGGATCTGTGCTGAAAAGCAAAACAATCTAAACCTACTTAATAATTACATTAAATTCAGATCTGGAAAAAGGCTGCACTGATCTTATGGAGGGGGTGCAGGTGGGGGGCAAATACATGTTTTTTTCAGCTGCGTCTCTTATCAAAAAGTGTCTTAACAGGAGCAGACAGATGCATTTCCCTGATGACTGTCTGTTCCTGCTTTATCAGTTGAAATTCATGAGAGCCTTTGACTTTGGAGTTGACTTAGACATTAATGGAATTGGAAATTTATCTTCACTGGACATCCCTCCATCTCTCTTTCAACACAGATATTTTGTCCTTTTGGTGCGGTTTGGGAGCTCAAAGGTTTAGCAGCGGCGGTATAAATCACGGCGGACGTGTCGGACCATGAAATGATTCTGTTAACATGTCGTTTATCTCAAATATATTTTCGCATCACTGCGGCAGACCAGACAAAATCCTGGAGGAAACGTGGTGTAAATGATGACTCCCCGTATGAATTACTTCGGAAATATGGAAATGTATTTCACCTTTGGGTCTTTAGTGTTGTCGGGAGTGATTCATGATGAAATCAAAGAGATTCATCTGCCTGGCTTTTGACGATTGCAAAGTTGTTCATTTCAGACCTGGAAATCTTTTCAATTTAATACGTCACAAACCACAGGGAGCCTCTCATGAAGCATTGTCCTTGGCTGGTACGGTACATTATGAAATCCATATAAACACTACATGTAATAAACATGTGATATGTGCTGTTAATATTCCGGGACGTTACAGTTGAATACAGGAGTGTTTCCAGGCCGAAGGTTTTACTGGTGTGTTGTTAATCTGTCCTGTGTTTCAACCACAGCATCATCCTCTTATCAGAGGGGGAGAAAATACAACATGTGCTGCTATGTTTCAGTGTAGGATTCTACTGTGATTAACCTGTGATTATAAACTGTCTCACTGAAGATGTCTCTCACGTCTGCCAAGCTAAAGATTCACATGTTTTCTGTGATGACCATGTACTGTAGACCCTCCACGGTGTGGGCGGGGGCCGTTGCCATTATGTCACAGGTTTTGGTTTTGTGATTGTTAACGTGACACACGTGGTGATGAGTCTGGTCCCAGCAGGCTATAAAACGATGATAGTAGCTGTGACGGCCTGTCAGAGGAGACGCCGACGAGCTCCATGAATAAGGGTCACCTCTGTTTGTGCTTCAGAAATATCTGATGGTTGATGAGATGTGACGGGCCATCGGTCCGTGGATGGGCTTACACTATAGGAGGAGGAGGATTTCTTTTTCATATACGGTCGGGTTTTTTTAAGCAGAATCCAACTCTTTTGAGGATTCCCTCCTCCTCGGATTTTCCTGACGAGAACATCATCATCTCTGTGGTGGTCATGGGTGTAGGTAATGGAGCAGATCAAAGGGTAAAGTTATAAAATCATCAAGTGCAAAATTAATTAGGGCCACCAAAGACAAAGATGGTGTGAGATATTTAATAGGCACAAAGGTTAATGGCTTGAACAAGTGTTCTTCTCTCCACTCAACCCTGTAGTGTCCATGTGATGTTCAACCAGATTCAAGTCTTTTAAGGCAAAGTCGGCCAAGGTTGTATGTTGCAGATTAGTTGTATGAGAAGATTCAATAAATGATGAAGTATTAAGATTTATTAAAGATGTACTAGGACAGGGGTTCTCTGTAGGAAGATGGTCACATGACTTCAAAATAAAACATCCTTTAGACTTCTGTTAGTATTGGAGTCTTAAAGTATTTGAAGTATTTTGAAAAATTGCACACTCTTAATGAAGAAAGTAAATAGAAATGACTGGATTCTCTTGAAACTAAATAAAATATCAGTTGTTTCACTGCGGCCCAGTACAAATTATCCATGGACAATTTAATGCAGTTATTTTTTTAAAGACTGAATTAGTCTTTTTGGACAAAAAAAAAATCATCATCACACACTGGCGCTGTTCTGAGTCTTTTTGGACAAAAAAAAAATCATCACACACTGGCGCTGTTCTGTCCCCCTGCTGGCCACTTGATTGATTGTAACATTTGCTCCAACATCTCCTTCCCTGATGCAGTGACTTCAGTTGCTGTGTGTGTGTAGCTTTTAGCAATGCAGCGGCTGTAGACATGATAGATGTAGCTGTGGTTCTCCCTGTTCATGCATATATGCTCAGAGAAGTGTCAGTGCTGTGGCTCAGGTGATGGATGGTTTCAAATTCTAAAAGAGTGCTCTGTTCACTAAGTAAGTCTTTATTTTGGACTCATTCTCTCTTAAGCCTGTCTAAAGGCCACAGTGTTCCTGCTTTGAGAAACGTATTCACTGGGTGGAGAAATGTATTCACTGTATGTGTATATGTATTTGCTTAAATGTAATTTAGGGCTGGACTGAAATACATGAGAAAAGTGATTTTAAATATTTGCTTAAATGTTTACCGCAAATGTAGATGTAGCCCTTGTTGCAATTTTACCTGCTATACACAGAGTCATTTATGTCTTAAATTATGTTTATTTGAAGTGATAATGTAAGACATGAATATTAGTGAATTATCTGTGCATATGGTTACCTCAGTTGTTCTGGCACAGTTCAGTTTTTGTCACATTTCCTGGCTGAACCATAAAAAACGAGGACTGTCGAAAAACCTATTTGCACTTTTGCTCTATTGAAAATCAATGCGCAACTTTTGTTCCAAACAGAGAAGATGAAAATATAAGTTGATTTGCCCCCGGTGGATTTTTCTCCTTCTTTATGGCTGAGTTGGCTGCTGTCAAACGATGCTGACACCTCAGTGATTTTGCCTGAACCCACTCTGAGCAGCGATAAGATCCCGAAAAGCCATTTGTGTTTACAGTGTGAGGCAGCTCTCACACAGATAGTAGAAGAAAAAAAATATCAGGATTTACCGAGCACAATGAACCCACTTGACAGTGTTATCATCAGCGCTGCTGTATTGACTTTGTAATGCATGAGCAGTGTGTGTTACCGCATCAAGGCGAAGACGTGTCTTCGGGCTCATATTAGAGGTTTGCGTTGGAGCCGTCACTTACAGGCTTTGATCTGCTCTTTGCAGAGGATTGCCTGCCTGAATCCTTATCAAAGCCTCCACAAACCCAACGCTGTGGAACATGACAGATTCTGTACCCAGACATTCTTTTGGGGAAAAAAACAAGACATTAAATATATATAATGTCACTTGAAGTGTATCTGCATCAACAGAAGCTCTGCATTGATTGTGATGGGTTTACATCAAAATATTTATTTTTTTAAGCCATAAAGATATCATGTTCTGTGAAAGACAAATACCTGAAAATTAATTAACACAGCTAATAGATATCTAAACCATGGTCTGCCATTATTTTCATCACTGTGACAAAACCTCAGCCTCCAGCTGTCAGCTCTCAGTGAGGATGGCTGTACACGGGCCCATCCAGCCTTGGCTCCTCATGCACACCTGCCTCCTGTCATCGTGTGCACTTGAAGTGTTAGCCTCATTATAGATGGCCTCCGTTAATGCTGCTGACAGAGGTATAACTAGCTCCCATAACTTTTGTCTCCCAATGGCAGATGCCTGCTGCCAGACAGTGCAGCAGCTCTTATCGTTTGTCACTTTTTTTCTGGGGCTGCCATGGACCTGGACTCGGACCAGACGAGAAAAACTCTCCCACAGGAGCCTGATGGTCATTCTCTGGCTGCCGGCCATTTTTTATCAGCCGAGTCAGGAGAGACAGAAACAAGGCTTTAATTTGAAGTGATGAGCATGTGATCAGGAATAAATATTGTCAGTTTTTGCTCATGAGTTTGTTATGTTTATGTTTCATTTCAGAAATCCTTCCCCAACATTAAGAAATCCAGATCAGTGGTGCAGGAGCTTCAGCCACTTCATCAGCCAGTAAGTGTCTGTCAGTAACTGTGAGTTATTAGTCATTAGTCTATCTGTCTGTCTGTCTGTCTGTCTGTCTGTCTGTCTGTCTGTCTGTCTGTCTGTCTGTCTATATTCTAAATTGTTCAATTTTTTAAAGCCCCTTTTCCTAACATTTTATCATCTTTTATTATTATTACTTATCTCATCAACTGATTTTGTTTTGCTGTGTTGGAAAGAATATAACATTATATAGCATTTGTCTTGCAGCTAAGTGTCGTTCTTCATCTATGAAATGATATACAGTATTTGACTTTTCAGTTCACACATCTGTCATTATACAAGGGAAGGAATTGATGAAAATGTAAACCGGATCTCCTGCCTGATATTTGCTCTTATGTGATAAAACAAACGTTGCGCATGAAAAGGCTTGGTGGGAAGAGCTGAAGATCAGCTGTAGCATGTTTTCTGTGGAACATGGAGGCACCTGAAATTGATATTTTATAGCCAGATTCTATCATTGCTCTTGTTTATCTGTTCATTGACTCTCATTTGTGTAAATCTGCCACAGAGGAACAAACTAATTCGCCTGAGTTATCGGCTGCATCTGAGGCTCAGATAACTTCTCATTTCCTCCACTGTGCAAAGCTAATAACATCAGGGGCAGCTTGTAATGGTTGTTGGGGATATACAGCTGTAATATCAGCTACGTAGGTGTGTGAGTCTGAGGCATAATGAGAAAATAAAGTTTAATTTGTCTGGAGAATTATTTGAAAAACTATTTGTGGAGTCATGGTTTTCTTTGTGCTGGAGCCTCAGTGTGAGTAATAATAATTAAAAAATAAATAAAAACACCAAACATCTTAGTCATTTTGAGCAGAGCTAAACCAGCACCACAGTAGTTGTAGTGTTTTCCCTGCCTATATGTGATCTGGGGCTAATTGATTATGTGACATCAGGTCTGAAAAGACAACAACAAAACAAAGAGTCCTGAAAGGGAAAGGGATGGACAATGTTATCAAAATTTGCAGCCTGTTTGTGACGTCTTTTCAGCTGCGTCAGACCTGAACTGCTGTGTGTTTGGAGGCGTCAGGCAGGGTAGTTCTCAGGATAATAAATCCATCACCAGGAATCTGTACTTGTGCATCCTAAAAGCTGACTTCTGTGACAAAGTGGTCTGCCCTGCAGCTTAGCCCTGCTAATAGCAGCAACCTCTGCTTAATGTCCTGGCGCTAATGAATTCACAGAATTAACTTTCGGAGCCAAACAAACTGATAAAAGCAACGGAATTTGGGTGCAGATTAGAAGGGTTGTAATTAGATACCTCTCCCTGCAGTGTTTGGGGCTGTAGCACTCACACAGATGCTGAAAGTCTTTAGCTGAACTAATGAACTGTGCAGATGTAGATTGTTGATGCATGCTTGCATCCTTCTAATTTTAGGACGTGTTTGTCTGTGTTTGCATTGTGTGCTGCTGTCGCAATCAATATTGTGGGAAAGGCTTTGTGCCCAAGCCAAACTAATACTAAAGTGTGTAGCTGCTGGCCTGTAACGCAGAGCCACGTCAGCTGTTAGCAAACACTGCACATGACTGATAGGACTCAGTGCCACAGTGTGTGCTCTGTTTGGGCCCGGGGACCATGGTGACGGAGACCATGTGGTACCTGCAGACCCAGAATGTCAGATAAGTCACACTGCTGCTGCTGCTGCTGCTGCTGCTGCTCATCCTGACAAATCAGCTCTGACACGTTCAGGTGATTGTGTTGGGGTTTTATTTCCAATTAAAAGACGGGTGAAGATATTCAGTTGTCATGCTTGTGTTTTTATGAAGGTGCCTGATAAAGGATTTTGAGGCACGTCCATCTGCCACACACCTCCTGGAGCATCCCTTCATCAAACAGGCCCATGGCAAAGAGATGGCTCTACGTCAGCAGCTTGCAGCTCTCATCCAGGAACAGCAACAAGCGGGCTGCAAAACTAAAACCAAGTAAGCAATCCTTAATTTGAAGTAAAAAAAAGGCAAAGATTATCACGTAAGATTTAATCCTCACTGCACCCAGCCTCTAGACTGTTAGTGACTTGATTTTATTTATCCAGTAGGGGGCAGGCTCTCATCTGCTAACAGTCAGCGAGAGCGGTAATAATGAGGAGATGCAGGAATAGACAAACTGGTGTGTGATTAAAGAGAAGTTACAGGAGTGTGACTAATTCACGGAGAGTGAGAGACTAAAATTAGTTTAAAAAAAAAATTTAGACCAGTGGAGGTGACAAACACTGTATGGAGAGTCCACACCACAGACCACTTATCACCGTCTGATCAAATAGTACTAGAACAGATGAAATAGACAAGGAGTCTGGACACAGTCATCATGTTTGAATCCCTTTTTGCTTATGACTAAATATTAGTTTAAAGACGATAGTGAGACACATATGATTATGATTCAGTCATATTTTTGAAAGCAGAAATGATAGTATATAGATAGATATTTTATAAGCACTTTAAAAAACTTCAGCCTTTCAAATGACAAAAGTATATTCAGAAAAGCCATGTTAATATTTCTTTCATCTGAAAAACACTGGAGAAGGAGTATTTCTCATTTCTCTCCAGAGCTCCTTTTTATTCAGAGAGGAAAAAAAGTCCCCGTGATATACTGGTGAATTCCCGACTCTGACTTGAGTTTAATCTTCATTATAAAGGAGTTTGCTGAACTTGCCCTTGACTCTGTCCTGAATCGGTGCCAGCTCTGTTTACTCCAGAGACCATGCAGAGTCGCAGCCTGAGCCTGAGCCTAAGTCTGAGCCTGAATTCCTGTCCACAGTCAAAGTGGATAATGGGATTATGAGCTTGTAGGGCGAGAACTGCTCCCGCTCTCTGGTTTTAGTCTCTCATGCCACAGATCGACACACAATGACTGTCGATAAGAATGAAGACGCAGAGAACTTGAAAGTAGATGCCCTAGGTGGAAGGGTATGATTGACTTCAAAGCAGTGGAAAGGTATGGGCCCCAGGTCTTTGGTCTCCATCTGAAGGGACACGATGACAATATTCACTTTATAGCTACTGAGTCGTTCCACCATTGTCAGAATACAAAGTGAATACAAAGGCAGACACTGCTTCTAACCTGGAGCATCAATATCTGAAATTCTGTAACATGATTTCAAAATGTTTTCCATTTAAAAATTGATGCATCTTGAATTTATTACTTTTGACTTTTTGGGGGGATCTAAAAAGTATCTTGATGCAAGTAGAAGTAAGATTTCATTTGTCTGTACAGCAAAAATAGGCTACACAATAAATCTAAATGAATTTAAACATTCTTTTTATTTAGTGAAATATATATATATAATATATATATATATATAAAAAAACAATATATGTAACAGTAAAGATAAAGATTTTTCCTCATGGTAGCTCTTGCTAACACTGTGTTTTTAACCAATAGATAAAGCTGTAAATATGTATTTGATTCACTGTTCTAAACAAATTATGTGGTCCAAGTGTCTTAACAATCACCTTTAGGCTGCGACCCACCATTTGAGAAACACTGCTCGAATATTCAAAATGTGTGTGCATGATTACTGTCAGTTGTTACTTTTATGGAGACTCAATAACACACTGCACCCTAACAGCAGTAGAATGTTGTTCCTGCACTTTAATCCTGTGCAGTGGACAAACACGGACAAAAGCCTTTTTTTCTGCGTCTTTTTTCTCACACTCACTGACGTCCCCCGGGACCATTTCCAGTCCCATATGGATCCAGATGGCTCAGTGTTGACCTCTGCCCACTGGGGCTCGTTGGAAAGTGATAGGTCAAAACACAGATGAAGTGCAATCACTGGCTGTGATAATAGGAGATGTTTCCCCTGGGAGATCTTTGAAGGACTCCACACCAACCTTGGAAGTGACTGGATCTTGGATGCAGCTGTTTTTCTACATTGGCTCCCACTTTATGTCTTTCTGATGCATTATCATCTCCTTGGCTTCATACACAGGCACGAGAGGATCAATACTCGTAAAACCCTCATAATAGAGAGCTGTCCTGATGATGATCTGGTAAACCTGGAGTTTTTAGACGAGGTGAGATTTAAGGTCTTATCTCATCATGCATTGATCCACCCAAGGTACAATGTTCTTGACGCCATGTTTTCTTTACCTCACCTCTGTTACTGTGGGACGGTGAGGTATTGTCTTCACCCTGTCCTACCTGGCATTGTACTACCCTACTGCCCCACAGGGGGGCGAGGTTGCTTTCTTTGATTGGCCTGCTTTATTGCCCTGTCTGCAGGAGACAATAATCAGCCACCTCCATAAGAGGTATGATGAGCTGCAGGTTTACACCTACGTGGGTGACATCCTCATCGCTCTCAACCCTTTCCAGAGCCTCAGCATATACTCTCCAAAGGTGATGTATCATCCAGGAATATGGACACTCCACACCACAACAATTAAAGATGAAGTTAATGATTGGCATGATTGATCGACTTTAAAACAACAAAATGGTAAAGAATATGGCCATGTTGTTTTGTAGTTTTCTACATTATACCATGGTGTGAAGCGAGGTGACAACCCTCCACACATCTTTGCTACGGCGGATGCAGCGTACCAGGGCATGGTGACCTTCTCCAAAGACCAGGTATTCTGCAGAAAAAAATATTCAATTTGTGAACATTGCATGCTATGTTTATAAAATAAAAAGCTCATCATAACCTTAATTTATTTTGGGAATGTATGTGCAAATTGAATTTATTTTATCTTTCATTTTTCACCAGTGTATTATAATAAGTGGTGAGAGTGGAGCTGGAAAAACAGAAAGCGCTCACTTAATTGTCCAACATCTCACCTTCTTAGGAAAGGTAATAACAGAAACCGTTTCTCCAGTTTAAACACTTCATATTCTAACCCAGATTTAAGGTTCTTTTTTTTTTTTTTTCAGGCAAATAATCGGACGTTGCGAGAGAAAATATTGCAGGTGAACCCTCTCGTTGAGGCCTTTGGAAACGCCTGCACGGCCATTAACGATAACTCCAGTCGCTTTGGAAAGTACCTGGAGATGAAGTTCACACCCACTGGTGCCGTCATTGGTGCCAAGATATCAGAATATCTGCTGGAGAAGTCCAGGGTCATCAAACAGGCTGTGTACGTAGAGTTCTCCCACTGTTTAGGACCTGAGCAATGAAAGAATGAACACTGACTGACAAGCTTGACATTGATTAAATACAACACAGTGATCTTGTTATTCATGAGATTATTCGCATTCCTTTTTACATATTTTTCTTTTTGCAAAATTAATGCATGATGGGAGCTTCAAGAAATATATGAACTAATGCCAACAAGTGGAAAATGAGGAACACTTGTCTATTGGTTTTATTTTGCTTTTAAAAAAAAGTCAGCGACACCAAACACCAGAAATCTGATCTAAGAAAACGCTAAGAAAAATCATGAAAATAGCTTTTATTTTACTTATTTTGTCTCAAGACTTGGCCAGTGTAGTTTTAGGAACATTGTGACAAATCCACAGCTCTGTGTGTCACTGGTGTTGTGTTGAAGTTGGATGTTATGCCAAGTCATTGCTGCTTGCAGCCTTTTGTCCAGATGTTTTATTTGGTTGAACTGATTTTCTGGTGAACTTCTCATTGTGCTGTTGCTTTGTCTTCTAGGGGAGAGAAAAACTTCCACATATTTTATTATATATACGCTGGACTTTACCACCAGGACAAGTTAAAAACGTTCAGGCTGCCTGACAGGACCCCACCCAGGTTAGGGACGCCTTTTTAATTTTGGCACACATTTGTGAAAATCCCAGTTCGTGACACTGTCTTGACCTGCAGGTACATCGACAGTCAACACTCCAAAGTAATGCAGGACATTGTCTCCAGTAAACTGTACAAGGAGCAGTTTGATGCCATTCAGGAGTGTTTCACCAACATTGGCTTCACTGAAGAGGTATTCAAACAATCGACACGGTACGTTCTCATGATTTGAACCACAGACTCATCTCATTTTTATGTTTTTCTTTTGGGTCCTTTTGTAGGAAGTCAACTCTGTATACAGGATTCTCTCAGCCATTTTAAACACAGGTGACATTGAATTTGCTGCCATCACGTCCCAACACCAGACTGATAAAAGTGAAGTCCCAAACTCAGAGGCCCTGGAGAATGGTGAGAGATGCTGTTTGTCAAACTTGTCTATATTTTCTTATTTTAGCCTCAGGGACAGGAAAGTTTAATGGTGTCACCATTAAAGAAAGACATGTGGGATGATTTAGGTCAGAGTGAAAAGGAAAGTCTAGGTTTTATGATGTTTGTCTCCTTGTGTGATGATTTGCAGACTCTGTTGTTACATTTTCAGAGAGTGACTTTTCATTTTACAGTGAAGAAACTTTTTTCTTTCCAGCTGCCTCTCTCCTCAGCATTGGTCCTGAGGAGCTTCAGGAAGCTCTGACCTCCCAGTGTGTGGTCACCAGAGGGGAAACCATCATCCGCACCAACACAGTGGACAAAGCTACGGATGTCCGAGACGCCATGTCCAAGGCTTTGTACGGACGCCTCTTCAGCTGGATAGTGAACCGCATCAACTCCCTGCTGCAGCCTGACATGAATATCTGGTGAGAAAGTTTTCAGATAATAAACATCAGTGACATTCACTGTTCCTTTCCTTTTTATTTCTATGTCTCAAACCATCAGCTTGAGTTTCTGCAAAGCTCTGTTGACCTTTATGAAGGTCTGCGCAGGCAGATACAAACCTGCGGGGGAGAATATCAATGGACGAGCAAAGAGGGAGCAAAAATATGATTCAATAAATTTTTGATACTTAGTTGCGTGCTGAGAAAATAATGTTGCGATGATTAAAAAGACTTCAGAGAAACCTCAAAGTGCTGTTCATTGATCCAAAAAGAGTTCCTTCATAAATATGGACACCGACTGCCCTCTCTGAGACATACAAAAACCAGGGTTCCAGCTCTGCATTCCACTCATCATGGCTGTCTTCTTATTGCCATTAATAACCAGATAGTACCGGCTAAAGGTGACCTCTGCATACAGCAGTCGGAGAGTGATCACGAAAAGTAGCAGCTCTGAGCTATGAATACAAAACACAGAGTGTTAAATTAGCAATTGGCCTTTTTCAACATGTGTGACTGCTGTTAGAGGTCACACAGCACTTTGTGTGAGAAAAAAAACCCATAAACACAGTTCATTTAAATGACTGAATGTAGACGTGCATGATGGTAAGTTCATTTGCAGCAACACTGCCCTGTTTTTAAAAAGCAAATTTTAACTTTTTGTTAGTTGTATATGTATGTGTACTGTATAACGATTAATCACGATTAATCAAGATAAATTAACACTTCTAAATATGACAAAAAACTTTTTTTCTGTATTATGTTAGATCTGAGAGACAAATAACAGTAGGTAGATATATGTTTTTATGTGTGAATAATCCAAATAATAGAATATGGAAAATGTCAACAAAAATATGCAAAAGTATAACATAAAATTAAGTTTCAAAGAGTCAGTGGATTTTAGACATTACAAGACAAGAAAACCATGTTATATTTTTACTGGTTTAGATATCTCATCAGACTAGTGTGTCCTGACCAGACTCTAGATTTGGGCTGAACTTGATTATCATTAAAGTTTTATCAGTTATTATTGGCTGCCGGGTCTTTGCGTTTTCAATTATGTAGGGAACTTCACTTTGTTTGTCCTCTTTTCCTCTCCTTTGAAGTGCTGCTGAGAGTGGCATGAATGTGGGAATCCTGGACATCTTTGGATTTGAAAATTTCACAAAGAACTCCTTTGAGCAACTGTGCATCAACATCGCAAACGAGCAAATACAGTTTTACTTCAACCAGCACATATTTGCCCTGGAACAGGTGAGTGTCACACTCACAGAAAGGCTATAAATAGACTTTTACAGGCTTAAAGGCTTAAAGTTATTACCACTAGTTTAATTCCCTGTGGCTACAGACATTATTAAACCACACAACCATTTCATTATTTGTCTGGTGTTAACATGCCCGTCCCACAAGTGATGTTTACATTTCACTTGCAGCCTTGTGTCAGAGTACGTATAGGAGAGTTTATACCTTGGTTTTACCTCCTGAATGAGTCTTTTAATTGATTTAATTAGATCGTTTACCCTGAAGTCTGACGAGTCTCTATTTTTACTGATAGAAATTAATGCACTTTTGTTGTAATGGCTTCAAATCTATATGTCTAATTGTTTTGGTTTGGGTGTGTGTTTTTTTGTTTGAGGGTAAAGCCAGAGGAGTTCTTCATTAGATTTTATTTATTCATTTATCCATTCATTATTTATCATTTAATGCTTATCAGAGTTTTAAAGGAGCTGGAGCTCAATCTCAGTCACCTATTGCCCTGGTTTCTGACATGGGTTTCTAAATTTATAAGTAAAGCTGGCAATAATCTGCTTTATTTTGTCTGAAAAAATTGGTTTAAGTGACTTAGCAAAATTGGGGTTTTTATTAGATTTTTTAGCAAGCATTTCTTTCTTTTCTTTGAGCAGATAAGACTAAACAAAAAAAGAAAAAGAACTGCACTTTTTAAGCAGCCTTTGTTTAAGCTTGTATGTCAGAAACATTCAGTGTAAAATGACCTACAATTGATGATCATTTAGTTCCACTGGCTCTGTCGTATCTGTAAAATCTATTTAATGAAGACCTTTTGATGTGAGTCAATGATAAATATAACGATGTGGCTTTGGTTGGTTTTGCAGTTGGAAACAGACTATGAATAAATAAGTGACTGTGGTTGTTAGTCCTGAGCTCATTGGTTTAATAGATGCAGTAAAGTCTTCATTATTACTCACACAGCACTGAGGTGTTTGGTTTGGTCAAGTCGATGCTTTTTCATCAGCAACACGCTGAAATGGTTTTCATCCCAGATTTTTTGTCACATTATAAATTGTGAAATATGTTCTATTGTTCTATTTTTGTCACATTATAAATTGTGAAATATCTTGTGTTCTATTTAGATGGAGTATCAGAGTGAGGGGGTGGACGCCAGTCTGGTGGAGTACGAGGACAACAGGCCAATCCTGGACATGTTCTTGCAAAAGCCCATGGGCCTGTTGTCCCTGCTGGATGAGGAGAGTCGCTTCCCGCAGGCCACTGACCACACTCTAGTGGGTAAGACCGGAACTGCACCTTAAACGTCTAACTATATTGTATAATTCTGTTTAAAAAATACTACTTGGTTAATCCTTCTCTTTTTATATGAAGTTATATTGAAAATATTTTGTTTTATTAATTCTCATTCTACAGATAAGTTTGAAGACAATCTGCGCAACAAGTATTTCTGGATCCCAAAACGTATGGAGCTTTGTTTTGGAATCCAGCATTACGCAGGAAAGGTATTACAAATATTGTCAAGTTTTACCTTCATGTATCAGACCAAATGCAAATGACAATATGGAGAAAGTAATTTTATCATTAGATCAATGTTCTCATTGAATCTTTTTTTGTTTTTCGCTGTTAGTTGTTTTTATAACGATTTGAAGCCACGCTGGAATGTTCATGCATCGACTTGATTTGGAAATGCTAATTTACAATCATTTGTATAATTTTAGAAAACCTGTCGGGTTTATTTTTCACTTAGTCAAAATGTTTGGTTTCTCATTCAGCCTGAGGAGAAGCACAGATGCGACGCGATGCTTAGTTCCAGTCAAGTATGTCATAAAGTCACAACAACGTGACAATGAAAGAGCATGAAAATCATCCCAACCACAGAAAGGAAGCAGTTGCTGTCAGTTGTTAGTTGTAGCACATGAACTCAATGGGCTGTGAAAATATCATTTTAAGTTAGAGAAAAAAAAACTAGGAAACAACAAATACAAACATAAACCAGTTTTTAGTGTGTGTTTAATGTTATTATGATGTCATTAGGTTTTGTTGTCAATATTTTGGCATACAAACAAACTTATGAATACAAACAACTATACAGTTTTAATGTGATCTGCTCTTCGCTGCACTGTCCACATCAGTAGACCAACAATTGTATTCATTGTTTGTTTTTTTTTATATTTCAATTTACCAGGTAATGTACAATGTGAATGGATTTCTGGAGAAAAACCGAGACACTCTTCCTGCCGACATCGTGGTGGTGCTGAGGACGTCAGAGAACAAGCTTCTTCAGCAGCTCTTCTCCAGTCCTTTGACTAAAACAGGTGAGTTCCTATAGGTTCCAATAAAATATAGGAATTTATATAAGCCACCTATACAATACCTTTGTGTATGTGTGAAATCTGCAGCCCTGACTTAAACAGGAACATTATTCTTGATAGAAAAGGAAAAGTTCTCTTTGTTAGAAATGCCTGGTTCTGATTGTGCGACTCTTCACATTCAGGTAAGTGGGTTTTTTTCTCCCCCAGCACTTCCTGGTCCCCCTTCATTTCAAGCCTCTGTGTGTGCAGTGCTGGGATAAATCTGCAGTCTCCATTATCTCCTGAGAGGCTCAGCTCTCTGCACGCCACGCTGTTTTTATTTTCACTAAGCTGTCCCTCTTGGTTTCCCACTCCTGAATGCTATCTGCTGCATTGTGGGTGCAGTGGGATATATTCTTATGATAAGGTTTCTAAATACCCGGGGGATGAAGAAACAGTATTTAGAGAACACAAAAGCAACTCTTCCCACCTCCTCTCTGTTAGTTAAATGACGGTAGTAATGATCTCGTCATTAGCCGCAGCGCGGGCCTCCTGGTCACTTGACTTAGCTGAAGCGCTAATAGATGTGTTAAATTATCAGATTCTCCTCGTCTTTCTTTATCTCGGCTAAGCCACATTATGTGATTCACTTCCTTTTTAGGGACCTGTAAATGTCTGATTCCACTCTCCAATGCCATTAAAAAGAGCCTCAATTCACAAAAGGCACCTTAGCTGAGATGCTGACAGGAAGTCTGGGAGATGCGTCTGTAAACTTCAATTGCACGTTGTGCACAGGGGAGTCTTCAGCCACTTCCTTTAGCAATTAATAGCATTGGTGGAGTACGCGTTATAAAAACAAATTCAATGAACACCTAATGCTCGTGCACAGAGTCGATGAATGGAAACAAAGACATGCAGCGATGGTTAGGGCTGGTGACACTTCTTTTGTTCTGCTGCACTTTTGTCTGCTCTCACATTTAGAATGTCATCAGACAGAAACTGTAGTCTTAAACCTTTATGCTCCTAAAAGCTGCGTTGACCCATGTCTCAGTCTAAGATTCCTGGTTCAGTGAGAGCATGTTTGTCTGCAGAAAACTGTGTTTCTAAGTTATTTCTGAGAAGTTTTTTTATGAAAATGCAGATCATCTTATCAGATAAAAAAAGCTACGAAACACTCGGCTCCAGCTTATCGTCCTGGAAAAGATGGAGCAATGTTTACGGCGAGATAACATATAGGAAAAAATAAAAATCTGTTCTTCAGGGTAAAGTCTGAGAGGGAATTTAATTTGCATTCTGTAGATTGTAGATTCACTTTTATCTGTGAAATTACCATTATCTGAGGGATCAGATGGAAATCTGTTAGACACCACGGTGGCTGCACACGCCAGTTTATCAGTGTCACCACTAGAGGACTCTGTCATAGAGCTGCAGCCTGACACTGTGGTGTTCAATCTGCTCTGATGTAGTGAACTGGACACGTCTAAGTGTCTCTCTTTTATTCATAAAGTGTGGCAATACTAATAGACAATTCTTTCCATAACCTTGTTTTATTTTCTCCTTAGTATTTTAGAGCCACTTTGTTGATGGAAAGTACCTCCTCTTTGGTTGAGGTTTGGTGCAGATTCATTCGTGTAGTGTCAAAGATGTAACACCTGCGTTGTAGTTTGTGAAGTGTGACAACAATAAAATAAAAATGTGGAATTTATAAATGCAAAGACAAAGCTGGCCTTTGGAGGAACTGGACTAAAAATAACTAAGTAAGCTGCCAAATAAAAAAGTTCACATTCGTAACTCTTCAAAGATGACCCTCGCTGGATAAAACATTAAAAAGATTTATGATCACCACTGCACACCACTTGTTTTTGTATTTAATCTGGTTTCAAACTTTAAACAGACACAGTCCATTTTAAAGTATTGTTTCATGATGACACCGAGACTCTACCTACTTTATTCTCCTCACACCAGATTGAGAACGTTCGGCTGAGCACCAGCCCGCTTCCTGTTTGGAGAACAGTAGGGAACTAGGAAGAAAGTAGGTCCCAGACAGTAGAAAGCTCGCAGGTGGTGAATGGTGTGGCCACTTGAGCTGTGTAGAATGTGGGTCCTTCAGCTTGGACATGTGGTGGTGTTTTGTCAGAGGAAGCTGGTTGTATTTACATGGACAAATTCCTCAGAGCCCCGGCCGTTCCTAGATCGGGGATCTCTGTTTGAATTGGCAGGGTTCAGTCAGGCCTACTGGGCCTGGCCCGGCCTGGCCCGGCCTGCTGCTTCAGTATCAGGCTCCGAAAGTGTGTATCTGTGTGTGTGTGTGCATGTTTATGTAGTCTCAGGGCAACAGGGCCCTGCTGGTTGTGGCAGAGCACATACACACTGCTCCTCAGGGTGGAAAATGGAGTGATGTACCTCCTATGAAAACAAGTTCACTGAAGTGTTAATGTACATTCCCTTTTTTTTTTTTTTTTGACAATTTTGTCAACAACAAACTACAACTATAAAACATTGTAAAAAATTAATTAATATTAATGAAAAGCGTAGTGTCCAATAAAATATTAAAATATCTAGATGATGAACCAGAACAAAGAAATCCTAACCACTGGACCATATGGGATGTAAGAATAGCTAGTTGGTGTAATACCACAAAGCTACCATCTGTACAGTATGTGGCGCTCTAAACATGTTTTTAAGTATGGTTTTTAAATGAAATATTGAACCCAGTATTAAAAGCTGAATTATTGTCGGCTCATCACCACGTCTGTCGTTATCTCATAACAAACGTGAAGGTGAAGAAGTTCACTTCCACCCTGCGTGTTGGACAGCTTACACTGTAGTTTCACGTGCCGAGATGAAGCCTCAGTTCTTCAGTCGTCCGTGTCTCCCTTCATGATATGACATGATATGAGGTGCTCCTGTGTAGGAGAGACAGGCTGACACTTCAGCCCTTTGTTCTCCTCCAGTCAAAGCCTTATTTCATCCAGGGGATGACCATGACAGTCCTTACCCCGACTCACAGACACTCACCCGGTCTTACTTTTTATCCACATTGTGGCATCAGGTTTTTCGAGTCAGCAGTTGGTTGTTGTTGGCTCCACATACATCTGTAGTGAGGAGCCAGTTCTCCTAAGTCACATGGTACAACGTTCTCTGATAGATGCGACACTGTGTTGTCACTAAAAGCCAATTACACCATGCTCTTTGTGATGGATCTGCTCTGACAGTGGTGGATGGCATTTAAATCAACAGCCCCCGGAGTCATCTCTAGGCATTAACGATGGCGGTGACGGAGGGCTGCGGGGCGCTTTAATCTCATTTGCTTGGTTGCTGAGTTGAGTTTCTAGATCATATGTTTTCAAAAAACAGAGCGAGAGAGAGTTGAAGGAATGGAGCTGGCCTCCGCTCACTCAGCTCCAGATGGTCGCACTTTCTTACAACTGTGTATTGTCCCCCGTGTCGACAGCTCGATCCACAGCCTCTGAAGTACAAGGCACACGGTGGCACTCATAAAAGCGGGCAGGGAGGTGTCATATTGAACGCAGGCTTGCTTTTTAATCCTGAGCACACTGACTGTTCTTTTCAATAGAACCCAAATACAACTGCCAGCTTGAGCTTTTTTGACTTTCTTTTCCTGGAGTATTCTTGCTGGGCTTAATTTTCAGAGTGAACGCTCAGATGCACACACACACACACACACACACACACATGCTGGCAGTGCATGCCTAGAGCAACATGTTTGATGCAGAAATGATCAGTGAGACACTCAACCACCGCCTGTTTCTTAAAACTGAATGACCCTCGGACAAATACGCCCCCAACATTCTCTCCTCCTTTGTCTCATTAACCTTCTTTGTCTAATCTTCCATAGGGCTTTTTTAATCTAATTCATCACAGGGTAGCTATGGATTAATCATAATCTTAATAAATCATGATATATTAGATAAAATATAACAAAAAATACAACAAGACATAAACATCTGTATATACACAGATATATAAATAACATCAGGTAGATGTATGTGTTTTACTCCTGTATTTATTTGTGACCAATCAAAACAATTAAATTAATAATATGGACAAATGTACCAAAGTATAACTCAAGACTTCATAGACTTGTTGGTTCGAGTCATTACTGTGGATCTAATCGATGGGTCGTAGAACGTGTCGAGTGGTTCAAAACTTCGTTGAAGTTGTTCTACTGGTGGAATTATCAGAGATACAGTCTGCCCATGCCCCCAAAAAGTTAATTGGGTTTAATTCATAAAGGTATTCACACAATTGAGGCGTTTATTTTGACAGCCCTAGTCTTTAATTATTGTTTTCATTTTCACTTATGGAAATGTAGAAAATCCACTGCTGCTGTAAGAAATCATTTCCTTTAACCAGATCTGCTATACATGAAAAAAGTCCACTTTTTGTCTCAGTCTGTGTTTGAATAGTTATAATCCACATCATTAGACAAGTTTTTAATTTAGAGGGTCCTCTTCTACTCTGGACATCACAGGTGTCCCCTTGGTTTCATGTCTCTGTAGGCAGAAATCTTTGAGGATGCTGACTATTAACCCCGCACTCTAATCATGCAGTCAGAGGGGGATCTGAAACTCACCAGGGGGAGGAATTAATGTGACTTGCTGAGGGAATACATGAAGAAAGCTGCGAGTGTCCGTGTGCCAGGCTTATAGGTACAACTGTCATCGTTCTCTCATCGCGGCGCGGCCCCTTCATCTCTTCTCTGATGGTGTCATGGAAGTGAGAGGCGTGAAAGCGCAGTGACACTCCGCGGGCCCGTTCCACTCGCAGCTCCTAATTCATCATGACAAATGTGCTCAGATGATCTGGGCCCAGCAGCACTAATGGGGAGAGGAGAGCGCGCACTTCATTTGCACAGAACCCACTTCAATTAATCCACCCAGCTTTACTCTGGGCTAATTGGAACGAGGCCCTCCCTGCCTGTGTGCTGCTAATGTACCAGACACAGTGGAACAGCGCCTCTTCTCCACCATCACATGCTTTGTCGCGTAGTTTTTTGCTGTGAATTCTGCTAAAGGGCTGATTGAGTTTATAAAAGACTTTCCCTGCGATCCTAAAAATAACACACATTTTCAAACAGGTTAATATTAGCAATCAGCTGATACACTTTGATGTCAAAAATATTTTATTCATTTTATGGTTGTTGTCCCAAATAGTCGATTTCAGTTTTCCAAAAAGGAGTAAAAACCTGACCCGATTGGCCCAGAATTAAGCTTATGTTGTGTTATGGCAAAAGACGATGCTGTGTTATTTGTCTTAATATTTATTTGTCAGTAATAAAGAAAAAGGGCACCTGTGTATTTGCATTTTAGAAGTTCTGTGTGTGTGTGTGTGTGTGTGTGTGTGTGTATTGTAGAAAATATGAAGCAGTTCTTGGCCTGGCACTGCAGCTTCATCTTAAAATCCTTACAGAGGTATTTCCTCCTCACCGTGCTCAGCTGCTCGGTTAACGCTGCCTCCTGTTTGTGCAGTCGTATTTTTTCCAAAGGTGTGTGTGGCACATCTGTGCAGCTATTGTTTATTCATGGAGTAAACCCTTTGAAATGTGTTAAGATACTTCCCACTCATTATAAAAATCCTGCCACCCATGGATTAGGACTTTGATGTCACCAATCCTGCTTCAAAGGCTTCTTTCACTGCTATTAATCACAGTTTAGCCTCTGAAGATAAAGCCAGAGAAAACATTTGGACATCTTGTGCAGAAACTTTGAAACTGTCGTGCATATGCTCACTTCATATGCTTTCCGCCGTGTGTGGGGCTGCTGTGCACGCAGCTGTAGTCCTGAGTCTACGGGATTGGCCACAGATTTATCCTCTGTCCTTGGGAACGTTACTGTCAGTACAGTAGTAAAGTAGTTCACCTCATTTCGTCACAGTTTTTTTTTTTTTCTCGAAGCAGCAGAATAAACCTTTTTGTGTCTTGAATACTTTTGAATATTACTCCTCGTGACTATTTTGTACTTGTTATGTTTTTAACAGGTAACCTGGCGACATCCAGAGCCCGAGTCACTGCAGCCTCGAGATCTCTGCCCCCGCAGCTCAGTTCAGGGCGGGTCAAGGTGAGACCTGTCCCACTGTTTGACAAATCAAAGCCCATTAAAACATTTAGTCTTTTATTAGTAGCTTACAGACATTTGATATTCTGTAGAAATATAAAATGCCATATTAATGAACTGCTCCTTTATGTTTGTGGTGATTCCACTTCAACACCTGCCATCTGGTGTCTGCACCATGAAAGTAGATTCTTAGACTCACTCAGTTACCCATTTACAGGTAATGGTTGGTTGAAGATAAAAAAATAGCATTTATTTTTGTTAATTTTCAATGTTTCATAAAAAGAAACACAATAAAAACATAATGTCCATGATTTAATTGTTCATTTTTTCCCTTTTTTTCTATTCTTATAACAACACATACTAAATTTGTTTTTGGCAGCTCTTCTGCAAGAAAGTCCTTTCTTTTCTTCCAAACTTGGGGCGGGGGGGTTAAAGTTCCTAGAATTCTACAAGAATGGAGAATATGTGTGTTACAATAACCATAAAGACTATCAAAATATTCGTCTCTAAAAAAACGTTAGACAGGTTAAACCTAAGACTTAGTGTGTAAGTATTTGGTCAAATCATAATATTTTTTTTCATTTTATTTTGTTGTTGTATTTCACAGTCTGTGACGAGTGTCGACAAACTCTGTGTTTCCCCTAAAAGCTTTACTTTTCATTCTTTCCACTTCTCTTTTCCTTCATGTTTGTATTCCTCATTTGCATGTGCTGTGCCTACAGTCTCCCAAATATCTCCTGAAGGTAAGACCTCTGTTATAAATACGCTCTTTACACCATCTCTCTATACTTTTCTCAGAAATCCCATTCTGGCTTTTAAGTACAAGATGTCTCTAAAAATACATGACTTCCTGAAATCTGCTGAACATCAACCTAATCCGAACTGAGACTTTCACAAACTTTGAATCATGTAAAGCTTCACTTTCCTAACATCAATCACAGCCTGGTTTTGGAAAAATGTAAATGATCTCTTTGAAGTTTTCTTTTCACCGTGCAGCCACAATTCTGCATTAATAATGTAAACAAAATCTCTGCTATGTAACTTTTTGACTTCAGAAATATTTAATATGGGACAAAAACAAAGAGTGACAATAAACCAACACACGTCCACCAGTTTCTCTTACACTGTGCAGGACTTTCCTTCAGCGACTCAGTGTGATTGATGTAATATGTATGCCGTCATGTTCACGATCAGACTGAAAGTGATCAGTAGGAACAAGTGTGCAGTCAGTAGTCTAGTGGTCGTCGGGGTAGTTAGAGTGTGTTCATACTCCTTTATGGTCCGATGTCAGAACAGCAGGTTTCAAATACGCTCATCGTTCTGTTTCATGTAAATCTTTGACGTACTACTTTTTCTTCCTTGGAAATAAAGAATTAACATGTGCTTGGCTACGTAGACGTACCATAAAATATCTACCGCATCATTAATTTTGATGAAGCCACGAACTGCAAAGGCCATTAGAAAGCTTAGATTGTGTCCTCGTTAATCCGTCGTAGTCAGGATGGCAGTCTGCGTGCTGACGGCTAGTCTCATTACTCAGAGTGCTGTGCAATCTTCCCATGCCCCACAGCAGTGCAGAATTATTCTCTAGATTGTTAGCTTTAAGTGTTTATGGGGCTGTGTTATACAGACAGCACAGTTAGTACAGCTGTGTACTCCCAACTGGGCCATTTAGAGGGAAGGAGTCCTGTAGTAATGGTACCTTTATCACTCAGAGCCCAGTGAGGACGTCAGGCGTCTCATTTGAATCTGCTGTCTTTGTATCTGATGCTCCTGGCCTGTCTGCCAGTGCAGGGTGCTCACTGTAAATGTGTGTGTTCAGGTGGACACCATGGAGATGATGAGACATCCTGAAGAAACCACCAACATGAGGAGACAGACTGTGGCCTCCTACTTCCGTGTAAGTGTTGTCTCTTTGCTTAGAACAAAGATCTCACTTATGATTACGTATCGATATAAAACTCAGGGCTGGGCAACAGTCACAACTCTAAGTCCCAATTACTCGCATTGTGTCTTGTGCATTTTACAAAAAAATAAGGTGCAATAAAATTTGCAAACCATTAAAACTGATGTGCATCAATGAAAAAAGCCATTTATGATTTCAAAATGTTCCTGTCTCTGTAGCTGGTGTTCTGATCCGGTTCATGTGAGAGCTGCAGCAGTCTTTGCACCAAAAACATTCAAAATAAAAAAATAAATAAAAACTTAGAAAAATAACTGTCATTTTCTTATTTTGTTTCTAAAAGTACAAAATGTACCGTCTCAGTGTTTAGTAGCTTTTAATGTAATTAAAGTGTTTGCCTTAATCACCACTAATCTTATTTTCTTTTTCTGGAGTTGACTTAATTATAACAATTAGAAAAAAAACAACTAATTGCAGTGAACAAGAGCCCAGGAGAGATGGTGGTTTTAACTGCAACTAGTTTCTTTAGAGCAATTATACTGCCCCCTATTGAAGTTATTTTCCACAAAAGAAAAAAAACAAAGACAGAGGGCAGTGCCACTACTGTGTAATGTGTAGATTACCATTGTACTGTAAGTGTACTCCTTGTGTCTGTGCAGTACTCCCTGATGGACCTGCTGTCAAAGATGGTGGTGGGACAACCACACTTTGTCCGCTGCATCAAACCCAATGATGACAGGCAGGCTCTGCGCTTCTGTAAGGAGAGAGTGTTGGTGCAGCTACGATACACCGGCATCCTGGAGACAGTCAACATCCGTCGGCAGGGTTACTCCCACCGCATCGCCTTCGAAGAGTTTGTCAACAGGTAAGAGAAGAGGAGGTTCGTCCCCTCCTTCATCCACATCACCCTGGAGATGGTGCAGAACAGGCGAACTGTGCACTCCATCCTGCAGAAACACAGGTCCTTTAATTAAACTAGTAAGCAGAGCATGAGGCGGACTAATTGGCAGTCATTAGTGAATCACAAAAAAAGGGCTTTAAAACTGAAGCCTGCAAAATATGGACCTAACTCAAACTCAAACGAGTTTGATGCAGTTCAATGCTGTTCACAGGGAGTTTGTTCCTTAACTCTGTGACCTGGAGAGGCTCAGATGTCGTCTCCGTGTCCCTTTGGTATATATTAGAGCACAATTAAAACAAGGCCTCCTCATTAGTGGAACATCATGTAAAGATGTTTTTTTTTTTTTGCCTTTTGAAAAATACGGAGCAGCATTGGACAGCTTTCCAAAACAGTAATGACACAAGAAGTAAAACTCTTGAACCGTAACCTCTCATATCTGAAAGATAACGTTCAGGTTTTCCCACCACTTCTGATGCACAAAGTTCAGATTAACTTTGACTTGTGTCTCATAAAAGATGAAAACTTTAAAGATGGCCGATTAGTGTCACTGATTCAGAAAGGCTCTAAAAGTCAGACTCAGGTAAACCTTTTACTATTGTCCCTCACATGTTGAACATTTACATGATTTGTAAATGTGTGTGTATTCCTCCTGCATGATGAAAGTGTGTGTAAACGCGTACTAAGACAGTGTTACCCCACACACCAGGCTGTCTTAGCTGGGCCTTACTGAGGCTGTCCAGACAGACTCAACTGCACTTCTGTTAAAACTGATTTCAATTTGTGTTCACATATCAAAGACTCGTCTGATGTTGCCAAGCACTGCTTTGTATTTACCATCAAAGAAATAACAGGTATCAACGGGAATTAGAATAAAAGGCTGCAGACTGAGGCGGCGATCGGACTTCAAAGATGTTTTTTTTTTCTTCTTTTTGTTGTTCTTCAAATTTTGACCAACACCAAAACTCGAGGGATTTACAAGGACTTCTGAGGCCTGAACCATGTTCCAAGGAAATTATGAGCGGTCATGTCACCCCCATGGTGCTATTTCACAAGAACGACATCATCCATATCAGTTGCTTGTTCCAGACTGTCAGTGATAAAACATGCAGTGTATGTACACTAACTGGATTCAACTGATGGCCATCGTCTGTGGTCACTGAAACAGGAGATGATGAGTCATTCATTTGAAGGAGCTTCAACAATAGGCCTCTGTTCTAGACTAATGTCACAGTCAGGCTTTTCTTCCTGTCGAGACTCCAAACACATGACTTCCTTGTCTGTGGTAAGATGGAATAGTTTAATATAATAATTATATAGATATATACTGTATATATATATTTTTTCAGGTTTGGATCAGGCTGTAGTTGGTGCATGTGAAAAGATAAATTGAATGTATTTTATTTATTACTTCAGCCTGTGGCCTGGTGGTTGTAATCCTAGGATTGCTGGTTCCATTCCTCAGTTAGTTAGTCTTATGGGTGTTTTCACTGACAAATTGGAGGCAGAGTTTAAATTCACTTAGCAATTCACTTAAAAGAAAATAAGGAGACACAACAGTTTTTAAAAGTCTGGTGTGACTCAAGAAAATAAACCACTCACTTAAGTACTTACTACTGTAGTAGTAAATACTGTAACAAACTAAATCAAACTGTAATGTTTGCACTGCAAGCATTTCAAAAAACAAGATTATTAATTATTAAACCAAGCAAAAAGAAAAAAGTCTGCTTTCAGTAAAATCCATTAGTAATGCTTTGATTCCATTTCCTGCTCCTCTCTTAGATATTACTACCTTGCCTTCCGTGCTCACCAGATGCCTGAGACCAGTAAAGAAAATGCTATGGTCATACTGGAACGCTCCAAGTTAGAAGACTGGGTGCTGGGCAAAACAAAGGTATGTGACACTGAGGTTTAACTAACTTTAATATTCAGCTACAGATAGGGCTTGACATAATTACCATAATGTTTCAAACTTTTATTATAAAGCAGAGGTCATTTTTCACTGGGCTGCACAAAGAGAACCAGTAACACATTATTTTATGTGGAAAAAAAAAAGAAAGAACACAAGGTCCACAGCAGGGACAAATGAAGAGCCTGTGACGTGGGTTCATTAGGACAGATTATGTCAACAGGCTAGGTACCAGCAGTCCAGGTGAATGTTCCAAGCTAAATGTTAGCAATATCAAAGGTGTATCACAGTAGTGTACTGTGAATCATGGCTTTGTTTGTTGAGTCAGTGACTAAACCAAACCTATCGTCAGGTTTTTCTGAGGTACTACCACGTGGAGCAGCTAAACCTCCTCCTGCGGGAGGTGATCGCTCGGGTGGTGGTGCTGCAGGCCTACACGAAGGGCTGGCTGGCTGCAAGGCGATACAGAAAAGACAAGCAGAAGAGAAACCACGGAGCGGTCGTCATTCAGTCAGGTATAAATATATCAGCAAACACAGTGAGGTAAGACGAAGATGGAGAAGGAGATAGAGGTTGACAACATGGAGGATGTATCTGCACCTCCTGTCCTGCAGGGGGTTTGCATGGCTCCATAAGTTCAGTGTTTTGGGTTTTTGCTCCATATTGTCATGATAATTGTAATAGATTACGTCCTGTAACTCAGTTTAAAAGTTGTTCTATAAAACCAGGAGAGTTTGTAAAAAATGAAAAAGTAGATATTACCATGTGGGTGTTAAAAAACATCCACATGGTAATGGTAGCCCTTCATGAGGCTGACTCATTGGGTAATTACAGCTGAACAAGCTGAGAGCAGACTGAGCCACCATATTGGTACCTTTATTAACTAATACAGAGTCCGTTTGACTTTTCATTTTTCTTCTTGAAGTTTTATTGGCAGCTAGTTTTAATGTTGCATTACTGCAAATCAGGAAAATCATTTCAATCAATCAGAAAATGAAGGCAGTTGGCAGCATCACTTCAGTAAATTGAGTGAGTCCTCAGACTCTGTGGTGTTTGTTTGTATTTAAACTTGAATTTGTCCTTTTAAGTCTAAAACTTTTTTTTCCAATCAACTAAAAAGTAAACATGTGCAAATGGGACCTGAGTCCAACTCCTGCTTCAGTTTATTACACCTGGGCGGGTCTTCATGAAAGAGATGAGTTCGATAACCACAGCTTGACCTGAGAGGTTTAGAGCAGAGCCTCAGAGCAGACAATACGCGCTCACAGAGTTCAAAGAGATCCATCCCTCTGCCACCTGGTTTAGCAGTGTTTTGAAGTGGGATCTAGTGTAGTATGTGCAGTCTATTTTGTTTCACAGAGGTAGGTCAGCAATCTCTCTGTTTCACACACCGGAGAACACACACACACACACACACTTCAACTCTCCCTCCCTCTTTCTCTTTCTAGCCTGGAGGGGTTATGTTGCTCGGCAGAACCTCAAACACATAAAAAAGGAGCGGGAAAAGGCCGCCACTCGCATACAGTCAGGTAATAAATGTTTATATTTTCCCTGTGAAGTTCTCCATGCATTCACTGACTCTGAAATGTCTCTCCAAGTCCACCATCTGCTGGGCGCTCACGTCTTTTTCTATTCCTACACTTAAAGAAGTGACATTGTCAAACACCTCTTCGGTCTCAACCAGCGTCCCAGGAAACAGTGATGATTAATTAATAATGCATAAAGAGACACTTTTGAAAGTTTGGGCAGCATTTGGTCCCCATGTTTCAGTAGAACAGTGCGTTCTGAGATCCTTTTCTGGCTTTCATCTCTTTCCCAGTGAAGGCAGGAGAGGGGCTTATCCCTTCTGTTTCCTCACCACTTCCTCTCTCTCACATTCCTGGCCTATTACACAGCTCTCACATACCAGAAACAAGATGCCTTTTTATACTGTCAACCTTTTCATCTGAAATGTAAATTAATTCTTACTCAGTGTGGCTTGACGAAGATCAAAGTGGGCACATTAACCTTCCCGGGCGCCCCCTCCTTCTCCTCATTCTCTCCTCCTCCTCCTCCTCCTCCTCCTCGGAGACTCTCACTGGAGGACAAGAGAGGGTGCCAAAATGGGCAGGGGAGAGGAGGGCAGAGGGAGGAGATCTGGCATTGTTTCCTCTGGCTCCCCTGAGGGCTGCACTCATCTGGCACACGGAGCATTTCAGTTGCCTGCACACCTTGTGTAAATGTCCTCCATTAAAACCCCTGTAAATAACGCTGCAGAATGGGTAAACACGCTTTTTGGTGTGAGGAGAGCCGCGCCTACTCGGCCGCCTTTCTCTTTAGGAAAGCGCATGTGTCTGGGTGTGTGTGAGTGTGTGTGTGTGAGTGTGTGTGGCCGCAAGGGTTTTTTCAGAGCAGGGGGAGGTTGAACCTGACATAAGTGGGGGCCCTCAGCCCCCCGGCGGAGCACTCCAGCACATTCACATTGTGTGTTCTCTGCAGCTTATAGCCTTTGAGGTGGACCACATTTGCATTCTGAAAATAAACAGATGCCTTTCAAATGTATGAGCCTGGTGGCTTCTCAGATCTCAGGCCGGGCCTGGGGGACACGCTCAGCATCGATCAGATTAGACCATGCAAAAGAGAAACCGTGGCTCAACAATGTACTTGAGCTTTCTTTTCCTGTGCATATAATTTTACAAGGAAAACACAAAAGCCAGTTAGAGGAGTAAATCACCAGGCTGCCATCAGGAGTCGTCTGGTCTTAGGATGTGTCAGTGAACAAAGTCTTCACTAACTTTGCTCAAAGTTTCTGCTGAATTCTAAATGAATGAAAGTGAACTTCTTTGATTCAGTCTTACATCATCATGCTGCTTTATTATAATCAGCTACATACTCCATGCAGTTTACAGGGGCCATCGAGTGCGCCGCAACCTTGCACCCCAGAGGAGCAGATGTCATTCTGAGGCTGAAGTGAAGACCACCAAGGAGGACCAGACTAGGTAAACTATGACATCCTTCAACCATCGGGGTCTTTACTTCAAAAGAATATTTTCCTGTAGTTAATCTAATGCTCTGTTGTCTCCCATTGTGGCTCAGTCTTAGGGCTGAATTCAGGTGAATAAAAAAAAAAACAATATTTAATTTATGGGTTATCACATGCTTTTGTTTATAAGACAATTTAAATCTTTCATTGTCACCACATCATAGATTGACTTAGTTTAAATGAAATTTTAAATGCAGCCACCAGAGTCCTTCACACGCCTGTGTACATTCAAACACCGGAGAGATGAATCACACATGAATGAAATATGAAGTTATGAATGTGAACTGCCATATCTAATCTGTGTGACATCACAATTTGAAATGAGGTAATCTGTCTGCTAATCAGAAGAGAGTTAAGGCCTGAAAATGACAGCAGTGCCTTTGACTTGTCAACAAAGACGTTGGACACGTTGGACGAGCTGCTGCCGTCCTGCAGCTCTGTTGTTTCCTCTCCTCCTCCCTGAGCGCCACCTCTTTCACTTTTATAAACGTAATAAATATCTTTCCACAAGATCGCACACTTGTCTGACCACAAACGGGGCTGGGCGTTTCGCTGGTCTCCAGATGTACAGGCTGGGAACGTGGTGTTTATTCAGCATATGGGCAGGCCAGTCATTAAGAAAGTATGTGCTAAGCAGGAGAACAGCCACGACAGGGTAGCAGCACACGTGGTGTTCACAGACACTCCACGACCATGACACTTTACACTCATTACAAACCGTGCTCATTACAGAGTTTGGGAGCAGATATTAAAGCTAGTGTTTGACTTTAAAGTGGTTTCTCAAGCAGTAATAATTCCTAAATTTTGGAAGATTAAATGACCACCAAATGTATGTCTTTCGCAGACAGGTTTTGTGTAAATATAAATGCTGAAAGCAGTATTTCTATACTGGGAGAAAAAAAAACATTTATACATAAAATATAGTTTAACCATAGCAAAAAGTAGGGAATTTCCTTTTTATAATTATCTCTAAGATAAAATAAGGCAATCTTTCTCACTTATTGCCAAAGACTTCTCTCATATGTAGAAAACAAGGAGCAAAAAAGACACAAATTATCACCTTAACATAAAACCAATTCTTGAGCTTGTATTTGTTTCTAAATATATTTAAGATTTTGTAAGTTTTTACATGAATGAACAGTGAGAAATAGTGATAAAGTTAGCCAGAGTTCAGATGTGAAGCATCCAAATCCTGGGTTATGTTTGGTCCAAGCTGTGCCTCTCTGTGGACACAGACTCCAAAGTGTAGGATTTACACATCTGAAAATGATACGTTAACACACTCAAAAACCAAGCAGAGGCTCGTCAGGGAGTTGTGCCTCCATGTTTACAATCATATTCCTCAGTGAGAAACACTTCAAACCTCCACTCAACAATTCTGTTTAATCAGTGTTGGAATCTCTACACAGATTTATTTTGACGTGATCTGGACTCATTTTCTCCTTTAAAGATTTCTATTCTCACCTCCACTCAGTTCTGTTTCCTGTGCCTGTGTTTGCTGACAGAGAGCGGAGCCTCCAGTTGTTTTACCGAGTCAAAAACTGGGAAAAGAAAATATATTTTATGCACAAATGTGATTGTATTCACAGACCACGATTCGTGTGTTGTTTTTTTAAATAATGCAACAGTCAGTGCTCCCACAGAAACAAACCTCTGTCTCTGCTAATTGTATAATCATGAGCCCCAGATGACTTCACCACCAAACAATGGGACAAAAATAACTCAAATTCAAGTCTTGTGACTCAAATTCTGTCTCTGTGGCTTTTACAAATATTGTTTCAGTAACGTGTACGGTTTGTTTGTGCTTTACCTCCACAGGTCAAACAGCCAAAAGGGCAGAGAGACACACACTGTCCTCATACACAGAGAAGATGTAAGTACTAATACCATACCAAGATTTCTTACCAAGACTTTTATGAAGGTGATGAATTTGAAACCAAAATGACTACAGAAAACTCACGAGGTCACAATTGTTACAGTCTCATTCTTTAAAACCTGTCCAGGTTCGAGGGACTTCTTGCCTGTAGTCTAGTCTAGTTCTCTCCATAGATTTTCTGTCAAACATCGGAATTTAATTAACTGGAGATGGAGCTCAACCAGTGTCCAAGAATTGCTTTGGGTCTTTGTAATAGTATAAGACATATTGATGCTCAAACCCCACTGTTTCTGCTGACTCTGCAGATTTTTCCCCTTCTGTTCATATTACACTGCGTTAAAGCCCATTCCAACATCATGATTCAACTAATTCCAATAAATATAAAAGCCGTTTTCAGACATCGAACACCCAGTTCACTTCTCTATTGTGGGGACTGTCTGTCTTCTCTGAATGATGTCCACAGTATGTCATCATTCTCCAGGTTATTCTCTGGTGTTTTTTTCTCCAACCTCACATTGTCTGTGCAGAGTTTTTGATACAGAAGTTCACCTGTCCCAAAATGAATGTTTTTGTTTTTTTTATCAGTTGCTTCTCTTAGACGGTTGACCTGGTGGAGGATTTCTCTTATTAGATCTGGCAACACACGCCTGGATATTGAACCTTTAGTTTTATTTTCACCTCAAATGTTGGGAACATAACTGTTTAAACACAATTTATTTTATTGATTTATATATAATGTTATATGTTTTTTAAATTATATAAATTATAATTAATAATTTTATGTTTGTTGAGTAAGGTAATGAATAAAGTATATGCAAAGATAAAAATATATTAACTATATAAACCTATTATATTGTGTAAAATGTTCATCATCTGCATAGAGCTACACTTTCCTAAGGTGGGCATAACAATGTCCCCGTGTGTGTGATGCCCCCCCCTCCCCCCAAAAATGACTTTAACTCCGATGCATTTTGGGGAATTTTCCGAGCCCTTGAAACAAAAGTGTTTCTCTTGTTCCAACCTCCATCTCAGCAGAGAAGTCAGGCTTGGTTCAGGGAAGGAGAGAATCAAAAGGCTGGAAATTCAGGGCTGAGAATAAAATGCTGGCTCTTCCCTGAGGTGATTTGTCTTTGCGCTCCTCTTTCTACAGATGTTAGACCCCCTTTTTTTAGTAAAGACCTGAGGTTCTTTGGTAGCACTTTGATATCCTGCTCGGATTCAATATGTGAAATAGAAGAGCCACTCCGTGACTTGGAGCACATCGCGCTCTTTGAAGTCTGATCCAATTTTTGCTGCTCACCATTTGATGTTGAAAGGATGAAATGAGGGAAATGTACAGTTTTTGCCAGTAACTCTGCTGAGCATATGTAAGATTAAAAAAGCAAAATCCTTTGGAGGATGTACTTAGAAATGTTAAGCAGATTAATACTTTCCTATAGCTCTTTTATTCAGAGATAAAAATTAAATATGAGTGTCTGCCTGCGCTGTTTTTTTAACCTCACAATTAAGTCAACATGCTGATGTTGAAGGGAAAATATGCAGATGCATTAGCATCTGATTAACATCGCAACACACATTAATGAACCAAATAGGAGATTGTAAATAAATGACTGTGGCAACTCAGCGTGCATGCACTCTCACATTATGGGAGTCCTGTTGTAACGTGTGTCTGTTTACCCTGTGCTTTCATTGACGCTGCTCCTCTGGGTGTGTTTACGCCTCCTCTTTCAAGGTTGGCTCCATCAGCGGGGACAGACAAGTGAGAGACTTCAGGGGAGACAAAGGCAGAGACGAAGACAGTGTAACCAAGACAGCCAGACTGCGAGACGCGCAGAGTAAACAAGGTAAGCCCGAGCACAGAGCTGGCGGCTGCAGGTAATTACACAAAGAGACGGCAGAAATCCCTGCTTTCATGGATAAAGTGCCAGTTTTATTCAATGCCGGGGCCTTTTCAACCTTTCATCCCAGCCAATCCTCTGCTGCTATTCTCTGTTGACAGCACAAGGAGGGAGGCATTATGGGTGATCATTTCTGCGCTATTTTAATAGCTCAGGTCAGCTCATCATAAATGTCTTCTGACATGTTGGGGGGGGGGGGGGGGGGGGTCATTTGTAAGTTGGCTCTTCAAAGCCTTTGAGTTGCTGTGTATGAACCAGGGTCTCATCAGTGGCTCTGACAGACCTGCACAGTGACGGTGACAGGGAAACACACACACCCTGATTTGTTCAACATATGTTTGCTTTGCATTTCGCCCCCAGGCCATGAATTACACGAATGCGTGCGGCCTGGAGGGCGAAGGGGAAGTGTGTGTGTGTGTGTGTGTGTGTGTGATTACACACCGCTGTCAGATAGCCTCAGCCCCAGCACTAGGGTAGTCTGGGTAATGGGGGCCCCGGCCCTTCATTAACGTTATTAAAGGGGCAGGAGGTAAGTGACAGAGGTGGAATAGTGTTTAGCAGCGTGGCTGAGAGATTACAGGGATTAGACATGATAATGTAACACAGACAGGGCTCTCCACTGGGACTGGGATTAGTGTCAACACACCACAGCAGGTCTGGGTTAGATAGCAGCTCATTCTGTAAGGCTGTGTACAGGTGACCTACACTCCCAGAATTCACTGCTGCTGAAGAGAGGTTGATTTTGATCATTTTTTAAAATGTCTAATAACTTCTATTGTTTGGCTACTTTTGCTCTTAACTTAACTTTTAGCTATTTTTAAACTGTGTCTTTTATCAATTATGTAAATAAAGTACCTGCTTTACTTAATGTGTTTTTAACTTGAATCCAGGAGGTTTATTTTCCAAACTAACTAACTAGTAATTTTGGTTAACTACCTCTGACAAAGAAACAAATGATCTTAATATCGAGCTAGTTAGCTAGTTAGGTACTTCTGGGATATATTTTGGCCACATTTTATCTAACTGGCATAATATTTTCATTTTAATGTTTTTTTTTCCTGTTGTCAAAATTATTTTTGTTTAGAGCTATTTTATTTACAGCATCTTGTATTGATTTTAGGCATTTAAAAAAATAGTTCTTGCTTCTTTATGAGCTGATTTACAGAGTGTATTTAGTTGCCGTACCCACCCTGTCTCCTCCTGCTGTTGCCTCTGGTGATGGTGTGGGTTCACGACTATGGAGGGTTTCAGGGTTTGCACTAGTAAAGAAAAACAGAAAATGAAATTTTAGCTTTAGCTACTTCTAGGATCATTTTTTATCTTTCAATCAAATGTTTCTATTTTGTTTGTAGCATTTATGTTTTTCACTCTTGTGAAATAATTTATTGGCTAATTAACTATATTTAATTAACACTGTCTTGTAATACATCATGGCCCTTTTCACTTTTCTTGTAAACTTTTGTATTCTAAATAATTTTTTTAATTAGCTTTTTCAGTGTGCATTTAGTTTCCATATGATATGAGTTTGCAATTCTGCAAACTTGTAGCTGCTATGTTTCAGGGGATTACCATGATAATTTTACACAGACAGGGCTCTCCACTGGGACTGGGATTAGTGTCAACACACCACAGCAGGTCTGGGTTAGATAGCAGCTAATTCTGTAAGGCTGTACAGGAGACCTGTACTCCCAGAATTCACTGCTGCTGAAGGGGGTAGTGTTTGACAAATGTATTATGCCTGACTGACTAAGGTGTCTTAGTGACAGAAAAGATACGAAAATGTCTTTTTTCTCAATTCTTTATAATAATAGTTTGAATCTATTGTTATCATTAACCAATCAGCTATTTTTTCAACTGTTTGGCAGTTTAAGGTCATAATCATGGGCTAAATACTGGTAAAATCTAATTAAATTAATCATGTATCATAGTATAGTATAATTTATAATATAATAAAATGATACAATGTCATTGTTTATTTTAGCTTAAAAAGTAAAAAATACATAACATAACATATTTTATTTAAATATGTATGTATTTTCCTTTGATGACTGTTCATATCCTGTTTCCTTACTTAACCTAAGGCCTCGTTGATCATCTACAATTCGTCCCAATCTGGAGATTGAGAATTGGTGACCTAATGAAACCTAAATTTAAACCTGATCTCCCAAGTCTGGTTAGACTAGTATAGGTAAAATAAAACTCCTTTTCCTCCAGCGTTACCTTCACAGAGACCTTTGGTGAAGGGGGGTATTCATCGCACCCTTTTGAATCCATTATGTTCCAAGCTCTGCTTGTGGCTCCTACGTTTTCAGGAAACCCCATTTGAATATGTTGAGGGAGGCCATGGTGGCCCAGGCACCCAGGGCACACTTTGATCCCTGCAAATCTGAGATCTGAGAGAAGGTCTTTTTTTATTCAGAGATGGAGCGAGTCATGGAAGCCTTGCCCTGCCAGATGTTTGGAGACCAGGCTCCTTCCTGTGTCTCATCCTGCTGTCGCCTCTGGTGATCGTGTTGTTTTTGTTCGGGGCTGGAGCTCGACCTGGAGTGTTTCAGGACACTAGCAGAGAAAAACAGAAAATTAGCCATGGAAATTGAGTTACTCCACCCCTCCAGATTCACACAGTTGCACACGCTCCTCACCAGGCCCCCATTAATGCCTGAACACCGGGGCGTGACCTGGAACCTTTGAGCTTGTTGGGCTGAGATTTGTTTTTCTTTTTTGATGTAGCAGTTTTTATATTTTCTCAAATGATACTGAGAGCTGCTGTCGAGGTTACAAACTTTTTGTAATAATATTTGTCTAACTAGGGACGTGCTAATGTAAACATTATAACGTGGTTGACAAATGACATGTCTAACTAGGGACGTGCTAATGTAAATATTATAACATGGTTGACAAATGACAAACTGTTCCCAAATTAGCTCACAACAAGCTAATTATCTAACAAAATCAACAGTCTATATTTTGTGTTTACTTTATTCTCTATTTATTTTTGTTATTTAGGAATAAAGACTGGGGCTTCTGCTCCTGTCATTTTAAAGCCTGTGTGGCAGTTTGCTAGCCGCTAATGCACGTTAGCAAACATGAAATGTAGCCACCCACTTTACATATGAAAACATGATTTAAAAAGTCCTATTTTTGTTGCGATTTTAGTGTCGTTTACCAACTTTAATGGAAATAGTATTTATGTTTGACACAAGGGAAGCTGACATTTCTAACTCTGTAGCGAAATACCCATAATGCAGCTTTTCATGGTGGGAAAAGGGCATTAAAGAGCTCTGTACTGCAGGCATTCTCAGATGTACTAAGCACCAACCTTTGATATTTTCATGTTTTGACAGTGAAAAAGTTCCTCATACACAGTGTATTTGTGTAAGCTCCACACTCATGATGATGTCTGCTCTCATCACCTGCCTCCTCACCATGACGTTGAAATGGAAATGAACCACAGAAGCGTTTGCTGAAAGAAAGCCTTTGGTAGGGAGAGGCAGATGAGATCAGGGCTCAGCCCGGTGAAGTAAACAGGATGGTGTCGAGGATCAGTCAGAGCTGACTTTATGGTTTATGAAAACTGGGTACTTATGCTAACAGGCTCTTGGAAGATTATTGTTGTGGTGGTAAACACAGGTGTCACCAGAGACACTGACAAAGTAGAGACCCAACAGTTTAGACAGCCTCAGTAGGCCTATAGTGGTTCAAAGGAGTCGAATTCAGTTCAGGTTTTTTTGTATTTCATTTTCATAGATAACGTGTGTTTCTTATAAGTTTTACCCAGAAACACTCATTCTCACAACATAACATAATAACAAAATATTCTTTAAAAAAAGAAAACACTGATTTATTTCTACAGCTAAAGTGATGTAGCAAGTAAAAAGCCAAAATCAAAACAGACAAAACGTTTCAGAAATTCACTAAAAATAAGTTGATCATGATTTGTTAATTTGTTTTTATTATGTTTTTCTCTTTAGTCTAATAACGGTATCCAGAAAACAGACGGATAACAGATTGTTACTCATTTTGGAAAATATTTGCTGGCCAAGTCCAGTCTGTATTTGGCACAGACAACACATTATTTGTTCCACATATGGCACAAAGTGAAAACGAACTCTTTATTCATCATCGTCAGGCCTGGAGTTGAGTTGAGACACTTGACTGGACCCTGATTTTAGCCACACTGAGGTCCAACCCTGTTTGTCTCACTTTTTTCTCCTCACCCCTCACTAAGCTCTTTACGTCTCTCCACACGTTTGACGAGGTTTGCAGCTACCAACCACCTCAACAACACCAACACCACCAACACAAGAGCAGCAGCAGCAGCAGCATCACTGTATCATCAAGCATTTGCCAGACAAATGATCCACCCTCCCCGTGTTCTCTAGACAAATACTCTCCCTCCCTCTCGCTGTCTCTCAACCCTCTGATTTATCTGTCTGTCTCGGTGAATCTGCGTCTCTAGCGGATGTCTTCAGTTTTAGGCAAATTACAGGCTCGATGAAGCGGCAGAGGAGATTTGAACAGGATAGGAAAGACTCGGCTCAACGGAAGGAGTTACCTCCGTCTGAGGCTACCTACGTAATCCTCTTAATGTCAGTGGGAGTCGTTAACAGGATGTACTTCCAAACTACTCATCATCACAATTCCAGCAGAATAATCTCCTCAGACATAAAGTCAAGGTGGAGAATGATCCTCCTCTGTAACTCTGGACGTGAGGATTGAGATATGTTGTGTAGTCCTAAGTTCAGTTCAATTTTCTTTCCAAACTTAAAACCAATCAGGTTTCGACAACTTAATGGCTGAGTTTGTAGGAATGATCTCCACCTATTACGCATAAGGAACATGTAACGTTCACTTCCTGTCCTCCAGGGGTTGCTACAGCTGAAATGTCTTGATTTGTACATTTAGATTTTAACCTGATCAAAACTTTCTCCACAATAAAGTACATTTAGCTTCAACAACAGTTTAAACACAGCCAGATTAAACACCTAAAGAGATGAAGAAGAGTCTCAGCTCTATAGGCTTCCTTCAAGTTTGCAACAAACGCCTGATTAATTGAGGCCTAAACTTAAATTGTTGGGCTTAAGCACTTCCTTGTCTCAAGGAAATCTAAAAATGAAATATGACATGAAATAAAAAATGCATTTTTTCACAGGTAGACTTTTCTACTCTGAATCATTCAGACGTCCTGTCAAAGGAAAAGGAAAAGAGAAAATATAGACATAAGGTAGAATTGCTGCCGATGGCCAAACTGCTCCAGGTGTATTTGTAAAAATGACCGTCAAGATTATGTATTTGTTCGACTATAGAGATTATTCTCCAGGATATTCCTGCATGTTCTAACTCTGACGTCACTACTTTGCACAGCTCGTCCATTTCAGTCCTTGTCTTTTCCACTCCTCACTTTGTTCTAATCCTGCCAGGTCACAGATGCACATGTTACGTCCCTGACAAATGACTGACTTCCACACGGCTGAGAGGTCTTTTTTCCCCCTGCTTTACAAACATTTCTTTTCTAAAAGTCAAAGTTCCAAATCTGCTGTCAGGGCAAATGATTGATTTCAGTGTGAAAAATTACTCGTAAGTAACAACATCCTCGGTGTGCGTTAGTGAAAACAGATGCAGGAACTACTTCTGTGTTTTCAGAATTATCTGCAGGACTTGACCAGTCTGGCTCATAATTTGAAGCACATGAGTTGCCGTACGAGTATGATGTCCGGAGAAGAGAGATGAGAGGGTAATGCATCTCTGAAACCCTCAACCGTTCTGGAAATTCTGCTCAGCTTCAGAGTTCTACTTTTCCATGACGAATAATGTCTTGTGTTTTATTGTGCATTGACCAATGTGTGCACGTTTCCATGCACGTGTGGAGGTTTGTGTGTGTGTAAGAAGAGGCAGAGGTCTGGGCTGCACATGCCTCATTTAGACATCAAAGACTTGTGATGATGATTTTTTTTCTTTTTAATCCATGCCTTTGGAGCCTTTGCTCTGTCCATCTGAATAAACAAAGATCTGTGTTTTATGGTCTCAAATCAGGTGACGATCTGCAGCACGTGATGCAGGAAGTAAAATCGATTGTAAATTCATTTAACCAAGAAAGAAAATTCCCTCTTTTATGTTCTTTCTTCTGAGGATTGTGATTTTCAAGGGATTTCAAAGTGGTATTTAGAGATGTAAAAGCAGTTTCTGCTGCTCTTTGAAAATGAAAGGAACACCTATCTCAAAAAGGATTCCAGCCCTTTACGATTTCAAGAAGCAAACTTGTAGCGTGTGTGAGTCTCTCACTCAGAAGTGCTTGGTTTTTATTTTCAAAAGCGAGAGATCAATATTGCATGAACCACGCCGCCTGTGTAATCCCAGATGACCATTACGCCTCCCCACCCTAAACAGCAGACGTTACCCGTAATCATTTAGCCAAACCCCCAGTGCGAGCTACTGTCTGACCCTTTCCCAGCTCTGCCTCTCCAGGTCCAAGCCTTGCTCCCATGCCAGAAGCCATTTTGGCAGCCTCCCTGCCTGTAATATATCTGCAGCAGCAGCATTCCTCTGGGGCTGGCCTGGATCAAATGGCAGTGATTTCCCAAACAGCGGCTGGGAGATGGGAGTCTTGACCCATCCTCTGATCTGCCGTGCACTCTAATAGCTGCAGGTCAGGGTGGATAAATGGTGGTGTTGACTTGGAGCCCATGTGCTGTGTTCTGGACAGGGCCAGAGATTAGACTGCATGACTTTAGGTAAAGGGTTAAATTGTGTGGGTTGTTTTTGTTTCTCTGGACTTTATGATTCAATCTGCTGTTTTAGAAATAACTAAAATCATGCTGCATCATTTAAAAAAGAATTAAAATCATGCTGCATCATTTAATTCATTTAGAATTAAAATCATGCTGCATCATTTAAAAAACAAAAATGTAAACAGAACAGGATTGTTGTGAGTTAGAATTATTATCAGTGTCTAATATTTTTCGTTGTGGTCTTTATTCCCCACTTTTACTGTCATAACCTCGAAAAAAAAAAAAGGTTCACGTGTTTGAAATACTTTACGTCAGGATTAGTGCTGATAGCTTCACGTAGAACACTTGTCAGGATGGCCGAGTGGTCTAAGGCGCCAGACTCAAGGCTACACCCTTCCTGTGAATGGGATTTCTGGTCTCCAAATGGAGGCGTGGGTTCAAATCCCACTTCTGACAAGATATTTTGTGCTTCCTAAATGTAGCACACCTGGCTTGGAAGTAGAGGGTTTAATGCCCAGAGAAACCACTCTGTTGTTGTAATGTTTTAGTCTTTCTGTTTGTGGTTTTTGACACTTTTTAATGAAACACTGTACCAAACGTGTTGCTTAGATTCTGCACTCGACTCCGATCCACGATAGTACTGATAGTACTGATAGTACTGATAGTACTGATAGTACTGCAGTGCTTGTTAGCCAGAAACATACACCTGATCACCGTTACCTGTGTGTTTGTAGTTTTTCAGGTTTGCTCTCCTAAAAAGATGCTCTAACACAGTTGGGAGTGAATTATGTATGGAGAGCTGCTTCGTTCATTTTAAAACCACATGAGATCTTTTTAAAAATTCTCCCAGTACTGAGAGGTAGAACAGATCCAGGCAGTGGACAGTTTGTAGCTGTGAGGCATGTAGAGATAAGATTCACGGGAAAAGTCGGCTAATATCTCCTAACAGACAGGAACTTTCCCGGGTATTTAAAGAGTAAGAGTTAAGTAAACCGGTTTG